CTCAAAACCAGAGATCAGCAACATCACTAGCGAGATGTGTCTGAAATAATAAGAAGTGAAGATTAACCTACCAAACAAACAAACAAATTAAAAGAAATAATAACAAGGTGAAAATGATGGTGATATTTATACATATATACAAATTAAATGTGATATTTATACATATATACAAATTAGCAGTTAATAAATGTTTAGATATTTATAAATATATACAAATTAACAGTTGTAAATGCTTAGAAAAGTTATGAATCGTCTCGCTTCAGCTTTGAAAAACAATTTTATATAAAGTGTAAAGTTCAAAGTTATGTTTAAGAAATAAAGATTTAATTGAAAAGTTATACCTCTTTAAGTTACCTAGAATAAAAATATTAGAGTGATGAATGTAAGTGTTGTGAGAAATGTAGGTCTAAATATAATCCAGATAAGTTGAAACACTAGATGAAGTGTTGTTTTAGAATTTGGAAGGTATGAAAAGGATGAATAAATGAATGATGAATAATGAGTTAAGAACGAAAGGGAGAGCAATTAAATCAAAAGGGAATGGACAAGGCGCAGTAAAGGTGAAGAATTAAGAGAGAAAGAGGACTTTTACGTTGGGCGCCAAATGTCGTGAAGCGACAATTAAAAAAAATAAAAAAAATAGAACCTAACCTAAGTGCAACAAAACAACAAAAGTAGAGCCAGGAAACAATATATTTAAATTTATAAAAGGTATTTACAATTTTATAAAAAAAATGATGTGAGGATGATGATGAATGAAGTGATACAATTAGATTATAAAAAAAATAAAGGTGAGAGAATAGGGGAATATAGCGTTGAAGTGGGGCCTAAAAGTCGAAGCGACACACGTTGCGTTTGTAGAAGTAGGTTTCTTAGCAGCGACGGCACGCAGCGCCTGAAGCCAGCACACGCCGTTTGCGCTTGTAGAAGTAGGTTTCTTAGCAGCGACGGCGCGCAGCGCCTGGAGCCAGTACACGCAGCGTCCGGAGCCGGCGCACGTAGCGCCTGGAGAAGGGGCGCGCAACGCTTAGAGCCAGCAGTTGCAGCGCCCAAAGGTAGCGCCGGCGGTAGGTGCACTCGGCGCCTGGAGTAAGTAGTAGTAGTGCCCGGAGTAGTGTGGCCCCCGCGCTTGTAGTAGACTCGAAGCGACTTCTAAGGTAGATGGAGGCTTGTAGGATTCCGGAGTGGCGCGGCCCGAGTTTGAAGAAGGCTTCGCCGAAGACTTCACGTGTAAATGGAGGCTTGCAGGATCCCGGGGCAGTGCGGCCCCGGGATAAGGCCTTTAGGAGATACTTCTAATTCGCGAACTGAAGCGAGACTGCCTTTCTTCACCGATTGTTCGGCTTTTATACCTTTCTAGAGAGAACAGAAAAATTATTTAAATTATACGCAAATTTTTTGTAAATGGTCAAGAGAAAAGAGGATTTATGTGGAATTTATCGAAATAGGAATAACAGATCGGTAGCAAATTTGAATATAATTACCATGGAAACGATATAAATAAGAAAGACAAAATATGTCAAATTTTTGTTTTTGGTTTATAATAAGAAAACGGTAAGATTTAAGTGGAAAATGAGATATTATTGATATAGAAAAAAAGGTAGCGCAACTGCCCACACAAAGTCCAAGATTGTAGAGTTACGGAAAACTAGCTAAAAGATCGAAAAAAGGTAGACTCCATTGACACCAATTTAAAAGTGCTGATAATGTGAAAATACGAAGTAGAAATGATTTGTTATTGTGTTCGTATGGTTTGAAATCGTTACAGGATCCTATGGAAATAAAGGTGATGTAAAATATCCAGTTTTGAGGTGAATGTAGAAAATCGAAACAGAATGGAAAAATGAATTTAAAATAATGTAAAATGATACGTAAGTAGTATAACAGATACGTAAGTAGTATAACACTACATCCTTTTTTCAGGTGGAGGGAGTTCCACAGTTGCAGGTCTTCCTCTCTTTTTTTTTGGTTTTTAATCTTTATCTGTTTCTGACTCTGTCTCTGTTTGAGTTTCAGATACTGACGTTTCTGTGTATTTCTCAATCAAATTTTCTCCTAATCCCAGCTTAAAGTCTACTACTAAACTAATGTAAGTGAATTTGTACATACAAAAAAATAAATACCTACTGATCATAAAAACATGCAGCTAAAATAGACCATGCTACTTGAGGCCCGGAGTGGCACTAGCGGGACAATTTTTTTCGGACAGTCAGATTAACTACAAATACTGCTTTAAACATCAAATAAATAACTTAAAAAGACAAGCAATAAATGTTTTCTCAGTTTTAATCCAAAATTCTTCTGAAATACAGAGGATTACATTAATATAAATGGATTTAACTTACCTCGACCTCGCGGAGTTTCCATCGTGCCAGTTCAAAGACAATGTGTCATAGATAAATATATATGTAGCAAGCAATGTGTCAATAGAAAACAAAAAATCAGCCAATGCCCGATCACTAGTTGACAGCCATAGTTTTTGTTCAGAAATTTTTAGTAATCACCGTAGATAGAGGAACAATGACACTATGTCTATGGTAATCACTTGTCAAAGACGCAAATTCAAAATCACTATGACGCAAAATTGAATAAGTCCCCTACACGACACCTTGGGTAGCTACGAGTATCTATATTTTTTTGGAGCTGGGCTTGAATGTCTATATTAATTAGTACCTTGGACGACCCCATGGGCCTTACGAGGATATATTCTCGGTAGTGCAACCCTAAGATATACACATATATGACTGTAATGATCAACTGTTTGCTACAGGTGTTTAAGACATCATTTTATGCAAATTCTATTTGACTGTGCAGTGGTTGCCAGCTAGAGCTTAGTACCTTGGTTCACCGAGGTTGCACCCTGAAGTTCCTCAAGAGGCTAGGGTAGTTCAAATAATATTTCTGCCCATATGTAAAAAATGGCTTAGTTGTAGTTATAAAAAAAGCTTAGCACAACTTAGTAAAAAAAATGTTCATGGGCCTGCACCAAGCTGGGTATGGTGACCTATACCTTACCTACGTAGTTGTGATTACTATTACCGTTAGAGCCTATTAGGTTGCACGCCGATGAGACGGTTTTTCGCCGGAGCTAAGACCGGCGTCAAACCGGATCTACGTCCGGTCGTCAGTATTGTATGGGATACTATGAAGCCAATCACACGACGACGGCGCTACGATACTGACGACCGGACGTAAATCCAGTTTGACGCCGGGCTTAGCTCCGGCGTAAAACCGTCTCGTGGGCATGAGCCCTTAAATTCTACAGCTGAACATAGGCCTTCCCCATAGATTGCCTCATAGAGGGGATATTCGGTATAGTTGCCACACTTGGCAAGCGGTAATTTTATGTGGTAGAGCCATGCTGCATGTCTGTAGCCCGCAGCAACCATGTACCATGTGTTCGTTTGTCGCCCTTATCTATACAAATAAATAAAATTGAAGTGTCTGTAATGTTAAAATTACAGTTTCTTACTAAATGCATATAAAAGTAAATACGGTACTTATAACTAAAATACAATTTTTTTAAAAAATTCTGTGACTGTTTGTTCCGGCTAATCTCCGAAACGGCTAAACCGACTTTGACGGGACTTTCACTGGTAGATAGCTGATTTCATAAGAAGTCACTTAGCCTATTTTTATTTTAGAAAAAGAATTAGGGTTCCGCGCAATAACATAAAAACACTAATCTGCGGGCGATATCGCAGGGAACAGCTGAAATAAAGCAGCTGTATATAAAAAAGCAGGTTGGCAATCGTAGTTTTTTATTTTCAATCGCTATTAGGAAGAAGTTGGTGCCCATCTCCTGATTTGTTTCCCTCTGTTACCTTTTACAACACCCACGGGATGATAATGGGTTAGTGGATATTCATACACCGCCACAACCATTGAGTTATATGTACTACGTACTAGAGAAGCCATTCCAAACAAAAATTGTGTCCTACTCTATGTCTTCGTGCATGCGCGGGAGTAGTAGTCGCGCATGCGCAAATACTTTAATTTGATATAAAATAAGATATTAATATAAAATAAATATAAGAATTTAATATAAAATATCTTAATTTAATCTAAACAAACATATTTATAAATAAAATGTAATAATAATTATTTTATGGAATTCACAAATCTTCAATTTACACAATATTTAGTTTGTACGGATTGCAGTACAGTTCAGTTGAACATAGTCAATGTTCGGAATGGCTTCTCTAGTATGTAGTACATATAACTCAATGGCCACAATACAGTAATAGCCATGATTGAAATCTTATAATTATGCCTTTATATAATACATGTTTGTTTGCTTATTGGCCTATTTAAAGTAAAAGATAAGTACTTTCTTGTTTTATCTAGAATGCACTTTATAATTGGAAAAAAATAAGAACAAAAAATAACACAATATTTTTATTAACATTAATTACAACTAATTTAATAAATAATGGCTTAATTGGACGAAAAAGTAATTTGAACTTAAAGAACTCCTAACCTATAATTTCTTAACATTCTTTGGATACTTTTTACAACAATACATAAAATAAACCAAGAAGTTGTATGTGATTACACTAGAACAAATACTATTTACATTAATAAAAAAAAGGAATCCAGTTACAGCCATTAGTTGTTATCTTTGAGATTTTCCACAAAAAACATAATAGTAGATTCATCAATAATGTAATAGAACATAATGATTTCTTATATTTACGCAAACACTACACATTAAAACTATTTTTACAGATTTTTATTATCTTGGGTGCTGTAAAGCAAATAAATATATATGATATATATATTTATTTGCTTTACAGAACCCATGGTCCCCCTCCCCCCCTCCCGTGAGTAAAATTAAACGCAATAAAATGCGTAAAAATAGTTCTATTAATATAATACTACATTTACAAATGGAAGCAAATGAATGAACTGCAACATAGAGCCAATGTCTAAAACTTTCTTGAATAACTTATTTTTAGAATAATGGCAATCATTATTAGTTACATAATAAATAATACTCTTTAAATATTGAAACCCATTTTTCTCATGCACGCTTTGTGTTCTTCTATCAAAGGCCCACAGTTCTCCTCCCCATGTTCAATAATACTGAAATATTAAAGAATGTTTCAAAAATTTTACAAAGCACAAACATATAGCAAAAAAAAACCAAATTAATTACATGTTAGTTTTTTTTTGGGGTGGTTTAGTCTTATTTCAATTCTCTTCTTCAATTCAAGTAGCTTAGGACCATGTGTTTGTGGCATTCCTTAAGGGAAGCCTACATTAAGCATTAATTTATGAAGGCCTGTGATGATCATAATGATGACGAAGATGTTATTCATATTCTGCTGCATGTGCAAGGTACCCACATTAAGAGGTTAACACAGATACTTGTTCTTAAGATTATTAATCTTTAAATTAACAAAAAAAATTTGTATAGATGGAAAATTGTGTAAGACGTTATAAGTGGCTAGTCCCCTGTCTACACTATCACAAACTCAATAACGAATTTGTCACCTTTTATAATATGCTAAGCAAGTAAAAAAGGAAGCAAATTCTTGAGGACTACATGGGACCTATAATAGTCTTAGGCTTAGCTTTCCATTGATGTCTATCGAGTTGAAGGTTGATATTTTTCTACAGAAATGTTACATTATTATAAGCACACAGGCAAAGTTTCAACATGCGGAAATGCATACTTTTTGAGAAAAAAATTATTAAAATTCAAATATTTATGCCAATCCAAACAAAATAGCGTCAGTTTTACGGTAGGAATTGACATAAATATTGTAAAAATAATTGATTTTTAATAATTTTTTTCTCAAAAAGTATGCGTTTCCGCATGTTGAAACTTTGCCTGTGTGCTTATAATAATGTAATATTTCTGTAGAAAAATATCAACCCCCCACTCGACGGACGTCAATGGAAAGTCGTACCCATTTAATAGTTGCCTCTTACAAGACCACCGAAAAAAATGTATATTCGTGATAAGAGTTTGGAATTTGGTCTTCACAGCAGTGGGCTTTAGTTTAAGGGCCTATTGAATCGACTCCTTTTACGGCTGTTATCTACTTTTTTCCTCATTTTTGGGTCATCAGGCACATAAAAAAGAGTTTATCAGATGTTTTAACTGTTGAATTGAGGCAAATCGATTGTACAGTTGAGCCCAAAATATTTTTAACTTTGCCGGATTTATTAAATTCATTCATATTTCAGCACTATTTCATAACAGATATTGCGCAACACGTGAGAATGAAAAACCTTACCAAGCATCACGCGCTCTTTTAGTTTCGGGACACGCACAACATGGTTTTAATTTAGGTTTATCTGTATTAGCTGGTGCCGGCGTCTCTGAAACCTTCACTTCTACAGCTTTAGCACTAGCGTTGCCCATTATTTAAAGATCTCTTGTGTAAACTTGGAAAATATTTTCACTTCTATCACATGTATTGACTTCTTGCTTCTTGACATTTGACAGTGACAGATTTCCCGATGTATTACTTTTCTCTATGCAGATTGTCTTTGATAGTTGTTATGATACGCAGAGTTTTGGCGGGAACTTGACCGGCGGTGGTTTGGTGCTCCTGTATTATTGTTTAAATAATGGTTTGAAAAGGATTTTGACATGTAAAAGAGGAAAAAAAATCCGCGTTATACAATAAAATGATGTGTCTTACCTAGTATGAAGAGCACCTCCCGCCCTCCCTCAATTGCGTGCACTATCCCCGTTACCACTAATCCCAGCACCGCTACTCCCAACACCACTGGTGCTGGGATTAGTGGTGACGGGGTTAGTGCACGCAATTGAGGGAGGGCGGGAGGTGCTCTTCATACTAGGTAAGACACATTTTATTTTATAACGCGGATATTTGCGAAGTAAATTTTTGTAAAAGCTTTTATATAATGGATTTCCGCAAAGTAACGCCTGATTCTATTAATTATATGTAAAAGAGGTGCAATTTTATGTATTTAGTGTCTGCGCATGTGAACTATTAGTGGAAACCATAGATTTTGAATGTACGTGGAAACGGCGAAACAAGTGCTCTGATGGTGATGTAATTCTCAAGATATGGTGTCTGTCTGCTTAGGCGCCTTGAGATACCATCGCCAACTGTCTGCTGGCTCAAGTTGCCGTCAAAATCAGTCATTTATAAAAATAAAATGATTCGCCAATTAAGACAAGATAATGTCTTAGACCATACAGCCTATTCCGATTTGTATTTTATCTTCATAATTTGCTAATGTGGTACAGTGCATAGTTCATAGGAGACTAACGACAGCTTAGCCCAGCAGACAATGGATGGCGATAATAGCTTAAGACCCCTACGGGGATAAAAAGTCTGATATTGTATCACAATCGAAGCAGTTTTTTTTTACAAACGAGCAAACAGTCCACCTGATGGTCAGTGAATGCTGAGGCCCATAGACCTCTACGTATATCCTCGTTTAAGATTCAAAATGCAGATGTGAAGAACCCTGGACTGAGATAAAATTCCTCTGTATATGTCTATGTTCTCTACACTCACCATTAGTCCTTTCCCGGTCGAGCAGTTTCTTATAATAGTTCCCATAGCTATAATCGTTATAAATATTAATTCCTAGACGTTAATATTTCTAAAAGTGTAATTTAGATATATATCTATCTAATTAACTCAAATATGTTTAACAGTGAACTATTTTAAGATTTTTTTTAATTTTATTCTGATAATAATGATGACAAATATTTGTTAAAAAATAAAAAGTATGGGTTGAGCCAGGTATTTTTTTACATTTAAATAAAAACACATTAAAAATGACATTTTTATGCTTTAATTGGACAAGCGAAACTTAAACAACAATCGTGCAAAACTTTTTTCTAAGACTTAAAAAACTAAATACAAAACTGGGAAAATGCATGAACTATGAACTCATCTTAACAACTTGATGCATATTTAATATTTCATAATCACTTACAACGATTATAATCTTTTACATCTCATAATCACACTATAAAACGATTGATAAAAATCACAAGTTCATGATTAAAACAATTACATTTATGATCTTAAAAACGAACTAAAACTTAGTAAATGAATTGGTACATAATTACATGGTTATATATAGTTTGTTATTTCTGATTATCGCGATCACAATCATTATGTACCAAGCCATTACTTTTTAAATTAGATGTACATGAATTTTTAAAACAAAGCAGCATTCAAAATAAATTAGTATGTTAATATGGTTAAAATCAAAAATGCACACACAGGTAAAAAATGTAACTTGTAAATTCATAATCACAAACACAAAGTTCAATGATATATAAAATGTTATCTGATTAAAATATTTCAGCTTTGTGACATGGAAGATTATTAAAATGTAGTCACTGAACTGTGATCGCTGAAAAAATACTTTACTTGTTAATGCGTCCTATTTAAAATCAAGTCAAAAATTATCTTTTACGCCGTCCATAATGCTTACAATACTTCGATGTGATGATTATTTTGTCAATCGCCAATGTCATCATCTCTTTACAGATCATATTCATTAAATATGACATCAAAAGTGGTGTACACGTTGGCCAAAAATCGATACGAAATTAAGTTGTAAAAATAATGACGAACGCATAATACGGCTGAATAATCAAATATTAAAAACTGCTAGTGGATTTAATTGCGATATAATCAATATAAAAATTAGTCCGGATAAACTGTGTTCGGATACACGTAAAAATAATAGGTTATAATCAAAAAATAAAACATGCCCTCACTAAAAATGATCTAAAAAACTTTGTACTAATCCTAATTAGCTTAAAACTAACATTTTAAACGGCACTCGGCCAGCTTTACTTCAACAATTCTACGAGTCTATGATGAGAGATCAAATCGTCGTAACGCTTTTAGCTATCATAAATAATCTTAAAAAAATAAAACAACCTTAAATTTTATAAAATCTCATAAATATCAACAAGCTTCTGAAAACAAATCAACGTAAAGACACTCACGGTTCGTACGAAAATTCTTTGGAATTTATGAATACAATTTATGCCCAAAAGAATGCCCATAAACATAGAACTCGTGATTGTCATTAATTAATTTTCACCATATACAATTCAAAACACATTTTAAACATTAAAAATGCCTACCTACGAGTAAATAGATGGTAATTAGATAAAAAGAACATTTTGAAATATTGCGTTCTTTGTATATGAAAAATCTAGAAAGGTACGCTCTATTTAAGGTTCAAGTACATAGCTATCAGTCTCAATTGATTAGAAATTATTGCGTTGAGATCATGATGTAACCCACGTTACACTACTTAATTCGAACCTATTAATAAGTCAGTCTTATGAGCTTGATTGCTCTTCTATTTAGATAATTGCAATCACACTGTCTATTGATAACAGACTTAGGAATCACAATAAGAATGTGATACTGCATACACTGTGGACGTGAACACAGGTCGGTCAAGGTGATTCAAGGACATTAAAAATTATTCCCGAAACATTAAAATATATGCAAACAAACTTTATGCGTACGTACTCTAATGATACAAAAGTTACCATTAAATCTTTTTTGAAAACAAAAATGCAAGTTTTATTTGCGTTTGATGCCATTTACATGGCAACACTACAAGGTCAACTAAAATTGTAAATTTTTAACTTTGGTTAATACGTTACCGTTTTGTAGACATTATATTTTTTTTAACAAAATAAGCCCTATGAATGCTTAAAAATGAACAATAAAACCATCTTGACCGTGTCTTGGTTTAAGGGTTCATTAAGATCGTGGGTGTTACCATTTGTCTTGAGAAAGTGTCGCAGTGTTGTACTGCGGTGGCGAATTGATCAGTTTCCTCTCTGACGGTGTTCCGTTACTTTTGAACGCGTTCGTTTGTTTTTGCAGCTCTGGTCAAGAGAATTTGTTAAATTTTTACATCATAAGATTATCATATCATTAAATGTAAGGGATAAAGAAGATGCTAATAGTACCTCGATAAAAAAGTAGTATTTAATGAATTAAAAAAAAATCATCGTTAAGAAACATGCATGAGTGTCGTGGAACACTCGGTTGGAACGAAGTTCCTTTCGTAGTATATCTATTATTATTGATAAATGTATTATATTATTGGATGTTATCGTATTGTATTGTATTGTATATTATCGTATTATTATATATTTTAACAGTGGTAGAGCCACGCGGCAGCTTTTGCTGTCGCACGGATGGGCCGGCTCGAACCGGGGTAGTACCACGACCTCACAGAAAACCAGCGTGAAGTAGAGGTTTACCTCTCCGTTTCGCTTGGTGAGTGCAGGTGGCCGGAGGCCCTTTTTACTGGAAATGAGGCATTCCATCTTAGTCATCACGGGTGACAACGCATCTACATTTTGATTTGTAACAAAGGATAGATGTAGATGTCTATGGGTCGCAGCAACCACTTACCATCAGGTGGACTGTGTGCTCGTTTGGCACCCATATTATCCTATAAAAAAATATACAAACATGTAACTTCATTTTGCGATATTTGAAATAATAACAAGTCTGTAAGTAAACATAAATTAAAAAGGAATACTAGGATAGTAGCTCTTCTTAATTTTAATAATATTCCCATTAGACACTCAAAGTAACATTAATATGTTTGTGAATCACTCCAATGATTCGCGATAGTAAAGGATAAGTGTGACAAACGAGCCTACACTCCACCTGATGGTAAGTGAATGCTGTGGCCCATAGACATCTACATCTACATCCTCAATTAAGAATCAAAATGCAGATGCGTAGTCACTCTTGAGGACTAAGATGGAATGCCTCATTTCCAGTAAAGAGGGCCTCCAGCCACCTGCACTCACCAAGCGAAACGCAGAGGTAAACCTCTACTTCACGCTGGTTTTCTGTGAGGTCGTGGTACCACCCCGGTTCGAGCCGGCCCATCCGTGCGACAGCAAAAGCTGCCGCGTGGCTCTACCACTGGCTCAAAAAGTTATCTTTTAAGTTAGTCAGCACTAACTTAAAAGATAACTTTTTGAGCCAGTCAAATCCAACCTCTGATGCCATCAGCTGTACCGCATTTTCAACACAAACAAGGAAAAATTGATACCTTAATTCCTAAAAAGATGTCAAAAGATCAAAGTACGAAGGAAAATTCATTTCAGTAACTAAATTAGTATTTAAATCTTAACTGTTTACATCACGAAACGAAAATAATTTTGATAATCTATTCTATTACGGTATTGTTAAGTTGCTGTTACATGGAAAATAGACAGTTATGAATATTATAGACGGTTATGATAACGTTATCCGTTGTACCATAACGATAGCGTTACGTTATTTAGAAAACTAATAACGACACACCGCTAGTTCAGACGTGTTTAGTGCTTTAGTGGCAGGCATACTGCGAGTGAGGGGAAGGGAGGGCGCGCAGGGCGTGGATACCCACAGTCCACTAGCAAAAACATAGAACACGCTTCTAATTACTTTACTAAACAGGTTACTATACACTTGCACTAATCAATCGCTGTCCACACGTGTCTACTCCTAATCACTAAACACCTGCACTAATCACTAATCAAAGTGAAAACAGGCCTTGAATTGTGTAACATATATGATTGTAAGCCGTTGGTAAGTAATATGATTGTAAGTCTGATTGGGTTTCTTGGTGGTTCTTTGCAGGACAGAAATTTTTTCCGAACCAGTAGTAATTAAACATAACAATCTCGGTTTTGATATCTCGTTTATACCAGACATAATTTACTCAAACGTGAGACAGACAGCACAGTTTTTAACAGTGGTAGAGCCACGCGGCAGCTTTTGCTGTCGCACGGATGGGCCGGCTCGAACCGGGGTGGTACCACGACCTCACAGAAAACCAGCGTGAAGTAGAGGTTTACCTCTGCGTTTCGCTTGGTGAGTGCAGGTGGCAGGAGGTCTTTTTTACTGGAATTGAGGCATTCCATCTTAGTCCTCACGGGTGACAACGCATCTACATTTTGATTTGTAATAGAGGATAGATGTAGATGTCTATGGGCCGCAGCAACCACTTACCATCAGGTGGATTGTGTGCTCGTTTGTCACCTTTATCCTAAAAAAAAAAACAGTCATAGATGGGAGACGTCTGGTACTGCGACTGTTGATCAAATATTTGTATGAACTACAAATTGTTGTTCCGGGTCTGGATGTTTATCCTTATGCAATTTATGTTTGTAAATTGCCCTCACGATACAGGAGAAAATACTAGCGTGGAGTTTACGTTTAAAACAATCTAAGAAACAAGTTTTCCTTGCAACGAGAGAGGCACATGTGTAGCCGTTCTATGGGCTGCTGACAATAACGATGATATGACGCAGTGGCTGAATTTATGATAGTATAAATGTTAATATAATGAGTTATACCGGCGATGGTTAGCAGCATCTTCCTGCGCGCGCCAAAAGCGGTTACTCCAATCTCAGCGAGGTCAGCTTCGTTGAGAGACGCGAACGTAGACATGTCCAATTCGTGCTTCTTGAATAGATCTGTTAAACAAATGCCTGTATTTATTCTCTAAACTAGTGACAGAGCTCGATTTAAAGCTGTTATGGCGTGTTGGAGTGACGAAGAAGTATATACTTTTCTTATTACGGAAAATTGATAATATGTTTGACTACCCTTAATTAAAAATTAGTTTATACTTTTATACTTTCTTATCTTTGAGAGCTCTATCGAAAGAATGTACACATAAATTTTTCAAAGACTACTACACGAGTATATGAAACATAGACTCATTAAGACAGACGGATATAATGAAATTATATGGGTTCCATTTGTGATAACGTAATAATAACATGAAAATATTGTCTAAACTTACTTTATATGTACTTCTGTTTGCTAAATCAAGAGACATGCTATCGCCAGATTATTTTCACTATACAGAAAATGTTACAAGTTTGGCAAAGAGCTTTTGTATGAAGGTTATGCATAAAAGATAGTGTAAGACTCCAATAAGTTTCCAGGACGGTGGCCTTGTTTTATTTTGTATATATGCATTTTAGATATTTAACGAATTTCAGTATCATATTGTAGATGGCTACTCTTTTATGGAGGAATAGAGGTTTCAGCACCTGTTATCCTCCCGACTCTGGCAAGTGCTAAACATAGAAAACCGTCTATTGTTAAATTGAGCTCGTCTTTGGTCCATTCGTTTATTTATTATTTGCTCCTGCTATTTTTGTTAAGAATTTGAACTGAAAAGATCTACCAGTGTGGAAACAGCTCGACTTGTTTATGACCTTAGAATAATAATATTATTCTAAGTTTATGACATACACTTAATTGTTAATCGAGGATAAATATATATGTGACATGTACATTTATCCTCGATTAGCAATCAAGTGTTGCCAGTATGTCATCATGTGGATCTGAGACGTAGTCCATCACTGCTGGCCGTATGACGACGCTCAAGATTGCTCAACGACCTACGGAGAGGGCTATGCTCGGGGTTTTTCTGCGCGATAAACTTCGAAATAAGGATATCCGCAGTAGAAACAGAGTGACCGACATAGCCCAACGGATGAGTAAGCTGAAGTGGCAATGGGCCGGCCATATAGCTCGAAGAACCGACAACCGATGTGGAAAACAGGTTCTCGAGTGGCAGTCTCATACCATTCAGTAAGCGAAGTATAGGGCAACCCCTACTAGATGGAGTGATGACCTGGTAAGATATGCAGGAATTCGATGGATGCAGGTGGCTCAGGATCATGTTAGTGGCATTCCTTGGAGGAGGCCTATGTTCACAGTGGACTTGTGAAGGGCTGTAATAATGATGATGATGATGATGATGATGAAGTTGTCACCTAGCGTTATCACCCCTAAGAACTAGGATGGTATGCCTCGTTTTACGAAATACAGCAGCATTAAGCTGCTATTTTACGCTGGTATTCTGTAACAGCGTGGTCGTACCCCAGTCGAGCCGACCCATTCGTGCTACTACCATAATATAGTTGCAGCATGGCTCTGCCACGTATGCTTACCTATGTACTTCTGTAGTCCAATATCGCGCAGTAAATCGTACAGCTGTTGGTAACGGCACGTCTTCTTTGTAGCCTGCGGAGGAGAGGCGAGCGTTTCCACGATGTTTGGACGCACCAGTTCCGATCTGTTCCAGCCCTTTTCAGGCTGATAATGAAATTGAACAAAAATGTTAAGTTTTGACGTCATAGATTATGCAAAATTCTAATTATCACAAAAAATATAAATACATACGAGGGCGACACTGAAAGTTTAAAACTGGCCACTTGTAAACGATATAATAAAAAAAATAAGTTTAAATTTTGAAAATGGAACTCATTGCCAATATGTATTTTAGTAATTTGTCATTTGTTTACGATTTGGCGGCAAAGTGAAAATTGTCAGTGTCACGTCAGCATGAATTAATTCGAAAAAAAATTTCGTACAATGATTTTTTATGATTTTCGATGTTATTTCAGTCAATAAGAAAGATAAGATAGACTTCGATTGGCCTTTCACGATGAAGCCCCATCTTGTGCCACTGTTTACAACTGGTTTAATGAGTTTAAACGTGGTCGCATTAATCTCACCGATGATCTGCGTGACTGACGGCCTTCTACGGCGACGACTGAAGATAACTTCAGTGTTGTGCGGCGTATGATAGAGACTGACAAAAGAGTGAGTCATCAGCAGATTCGGACAAGCTTAGGCATCGGTATGAGTCAAGTGCACAAAATCCACCATGAACATTTAGCGACCAGCAAGCTGTCAGCAAGTATGCCCGATGGATACCTTATAATTTGCAGAGGCCCAAAAACTCCGTCGTGTTGATTGGTGTCGTGAAATGGTTCAAAAATTTAACGGATGTGACTCAAATGCTGTGTTCGACATACTTACGGGTGACGAAAGCTGGATTTATTGTTATGATCCTGAAACTAAGAGACAGTCTGCTGTCTGTGTGTTTCCTTCCGAGGAGTTGCCAACTAAAGTGAAGAGAGGTCGAAGCGTGGGAAAAGAGATGATGGCCTCGTTCTTCGGAAGGACAGATCATTACGCAACAATTGTTTTAGAGGATCGCAAAACAGTTACTGCAGAGTGGTACACTAACAATTATTTGCCACTTGTCTTGCCAAGCAAACAATCGACTACTTGGCGACTCGCACCTTGTGATTTTTATTTATTTCCGAAAATAAATGAATAACTTCGAGGAAAACGTTTTATGGACGCTGAGGAAGCAGTGGCTGCGTTTCAAAATTCCGTCGAAGAGACCCCCTAAGAACGAGTGGGCAAAGTGCTTTTTTCAGTGATTCCATCGGATGCAGCAATATATTCATGTAAATGGACACTATTTTAAAAAGATATAATAGAACTAATAACTTGCTAGTTTGTTCAGTTTTTGATTTTCTAAGTACTTTCAGTGTCACTCTCGTATACAGGGTTATTTTGCAATAACCGGCCAAATTTACAGAGAAGGTTCAGAAAAAGTAATGCTGAAGAAGAATTAATAAAAAAAAACTCAAACGTTCCGTCCTTTTTATCTTTTAAATTCAAAATGCGTGGTAATCTTAGAGTAATTACATACATAGTATGGTGGTAATGCATTATTTTAACTGATTGTCATTCACTAATATCAAACGTCTACTATTTTACTGCTCTCGCACACATTCGTAAGGGTCGATCGGTCGGTAATAATATTGTGAATTGAAACTTTGTTGTATTTTTTCTTTGTTATGTTTTAAAAGTAAAAGCGTATTTTTAAAAAAAAAATTATATCGGTATGCGTATTATATTTATTTGAACCTAACTGGTAACTGTACACCAATGTTTTATAAAATATATTAAAAAGAACGATAACTGCTACACGTATTTTTTTTATTGAAAAAACTATAAGCTTAAAATGCATGTTAGGTGGTTAGGAGTGGTTCACGACAGTAGTCGAATGGTGGATTCGAATCCTCGATCTTTTGAGTTCGCGCTCCGCACCCTTCCATTAGGCTACTGTCACTGAAAAATAATACTCATAATTTAGTATAGTATTATAGTTTTGTCTATTGCCATATTAGATTACACTTCAACTATTGTCTCATCAATTAAAGTTTATAAAAAAAAAAAACTTTAAACACAAGAACATAACAACAACTGTGTGGTTTGTACTCGCCTTCCGTCTCGAGTCCTGAATTCGAATGCTGGGAAGCAGCAGGGTTTCTGGTCTGGATGCGTTGCGTTTGTTTTTATGTCTTTAACTATTTAGGCTGTAGGTACTGTTATCAAGAGCAAATTCAAGTTTAGCTATTTTTTAAATTTCAGTAGAAGTCTTGCAATAGAATATTAAGAAAAAGAGGATGCAGTGCCTATACATGTTTAATAATTTCCTCACCATTTATGGGTTTCACATTACATTATTACCGTTTAGTCAAATTTCCGTTTCATGAAATTAGCTTATTGTCAATAATGACCGCTTCGTCAACCCTTATTTACACAATAGATACGAGGGTGACAAGGAAAGTTCTTAGAAAATCAAAAACTGAACAAACTAGCAAGTTACTAGTTTTATTATTACTTTCTTGTTGACTTAAATGACATCGAAAGTCATAAAAATCATTGTACGAAAATTCTCTCGCGTTAAATTCATGCTGACGTAATACCAAAGAGATTTAAATATATAGGTATACTACTACATAAATGTCTTTGCGTGATTAATAGAATCAGGCGTTACTTTGCGGAAATGCATTATATAAAAGCTTTTAGCTTTTGTCTTGGATATTTGCGAAGTAAATTTTTCTAAAAGTCTTTGCGTGACACAGACAATTCTCAATTTGCCGCCAAATAGTAAACAAATGACAAATTAATAGAATACATACACAATAATATTGGCAAAGAGTTCCATTTTCAAAATTTGAAGTTATTTTTTTATTATATCCTTTACAAGTGGCCAGTTCTAAAAACTTTCAGTGTCGCCCTCGTATCCCCTCCCCGCTTTCGAATATTATTATGTATTATTTAATATTGCCTACTTCACAGGATTAGTTTTAAAACTTGGACTTATATAAAAAATCCATTACCGTGGTCAATCCTTCGTTGTCGTTCAGCGAGATCGGTCCGGGCGAAGTGTGGCTGAAGTAATATCCGGACCAGCGTCCCGTCGGTATACGATATCCGTTGCCGATGTTTTCACGCATGGCCTGCAAGGATAAACTTGTTACATATGTATATACAAAAACTTTACTTTTTAGATATACTTACCTAGGGTTATTTCAGCTTCAGCTTAATTTCTAGGTGGAGTACTCGGATATCACCGTATATAATATGTATATCATATTCAAAACATAAAACATAACACTCACGCCTGTCACAAAAAGGGGTAGGCAGAGGACTACGGACTAGGCACTATCCTGAGACACCACTCTCGCCTCCTTTACATCGATATACCTACGCATACATACTCGTCGGTTAAGGGTACTCTTAATTAGGTCCATTTTCAATATATCCCCAATTTGGTCGACAAACTTTCGCCTAGGGCGCCCCTTCACGACTCTGACGTTCAGTTCTGCAACATAGGTTTCTTTGTCACTCTTTCCTCGTTCATTCTTTGTACATGACCAAACCATGGTAATATATCATTATGTAGTTTTGTATATTAATTTAAATACGTTAAAGATGGCAACAGCTAATCTTAATATATTAGTAGATAAGTAATTGTTACAAGTATTCTCTACCTCTCTCTACTCATGTAAATAATTAATTAGTTATTTATATCTTGGAAGTTATTTATTTCGAAAACAAACAGCTTAAATCTGTATTATTATAAAAATGAATATTTTAACCATCCTAAAATCAGTGCTTGACTATTACTGATGTAAGTTTTGATGCAGAGGAAGGTGATAAAGCGCACTGATTTAACAAAGCATATTTACTGCTATAAAACCTTGAAGTCACCTACATTGTCATCGAATGGAAGTACATGTTACATTATACCCACATATAGACAATTTAGTTTAAAATTGGCTATCATAGCATCACTTTCTACTTCATTCTGCGCACACAACATGTTTAAATAACATTAATGTGTTTAAATAACATTACTTGAGATACAACCTACAACTAAGAATGAGTGTCAACTGAATATGAATAGAACCATTGTTCCCTGATTTTTTTATCTACATAAATAAAATGAAGTTTGCAGTTTTGCGCGCATCACGGAAAAACTACTGGATAGATTTCAATTAGATTTTCGAAGTTTTAGACCTTTCGAAAAAAAATAATGCGATATCTTCATTTAATATAAAGTTATTAAAGTTTTAAGAAACAACAATTTTTATAAGCACTACATGTTCAGTGATGTGTGTTTTCTTGATATATCAAGCAACGCGGACAAAGTCTCGGGTGTCAGCTGGTTATTAAACAGTATTACAAAATTAAAATGCCGCTAAACTCAGTTGTTTATCGCGACACTGTTTTAGTCACTCAATAAAATTGATCTCACTTTTGCATGAGCGCAGAGAATCACAAAGTTATGGTTAATTTTACCGTCCTATATTCTATTAAGAGAATGATCAAATATTCAACTAAATCGTAATATAGTCTATGAATTAATGCCTAGCGACCTAGGGGCCTCCCCAAAAGTTACCCATCAAATAAATTACTATCCAATACATCCATTACAGCCTATAAAAAATTACTGCTGAACCTAGGCCTCCCCCATAGATTACTCCATTGGCAGGAATTTGCCATAGTTGCCATGCTTGGCAGGCGTATTTTATTATTTTGAGTTGTTATCAGGAAGATTTATTATTATAACGTATCGGAGTCTACTCTCTGCTTGCAGTAGTCTGCGAGCGGCGACAGCTTGCCCAGACTCCGCAGAATCTTCTTCTCGTATATCCAGTAGATAGAGTATTACCTTGTCGGCGTCGGCTCTCTGCTTGCGGTAGTCTGCGAGCGGCGACAGCTTGCCCAGACTCCGCAGAGTCTTCTTCTCGTATATCCAGTAGGTAGAGTATTACCTTGTCGGCGTCGGCTCTCTGCTTGCGGTAGTCTGCGAGCGGCGACAGCTTGCCCAGACTCCGCAAAGTCTTCTTCTCGTATATCCAGTAGGTAGAGTATTACCTTGTCGGCGTCGGCTCTCTGCTTGCGGTAGTCTGCGAGCGGCGACAGCTTGCCCAGACTCCGCAGAGTCTTCTTCTCGTATATCCAGTAGGTAGAGTATTACCTTGTCGGCGTCGGCTCTCTGCTTGCGGTAGTCTGCGAGCGGCGACAGCTTGCCCAGACTCCGCAGAGTCTTCTTCTCGTATATCCAGTAGGTAGAGTATTACCTTGTCGGCGTCGGCTCTCTGCTTGCGGTAGTCTGCGAGCGGCGACAGCTTGCCCAGACTCCGCAAAGTCTTCTTCTCGTATATCCAGTAGGTAGAGTATTACCTTGTCGGCGTCGGCTCTCTGCTTGCGGTAGTCTGCGAGCGGCGACAGCTTGCCCAGACTCCGCAGAGTCTTCTTCTCGTATATCCAGTAGGTAGAGTATTACCTTGTCGGCGTCGGCTCTCTGCTTGCGGTAGTCTGCGAGCGGCGACAGCTTGCCCAGACTCCGCAAAGTCTTCTTCTCGTATATCCAGTAGGTAGAGTATTACCTTGTCGGCGTCGGCTCTCTGCTTGCGGTAGTCTGCGAGCGGCGACAGCTTGCCCAGACTCCGCAGAGTCTTCTTCTCGTATATCCAGTAGGTAGAGTATTACCTTGTCGGCGTCGGCTCTCTGCTTGCGGTAGTCTGCGAGCGGCGACAGCTTGCCCAGACTCTGCAGAGTCTTCTTCTCGCAGCCCACCGCCCGGCGGGCCGACAGGGGCAGTTCAGAGATCAGGCTCGCCAGCTCTGCAAATGTTTCACTTTTTAATTTTATAAATCTTTACAACATATGCCATTTTAAGAAAGCATAAATAAGATAGCCTTCGAAATATTTGTTCCGTGAACATCTTTCGCAAACAACGTAGTCTATATAATATACATTACTCGTATACTCAACCATATCTAAGTAATACCTTTTGTATTTTCACATTAATCATTCCGCAATAACTTTGTACAAGCGTACACGATTTACACGAATTAAAATAACCTTTAAAATAAATCCCAATAATTATGAAGTAATATATTTTTCATTACAACATGTTTAGTTCTTTATCACTAACTTAAGTACGAATCTTTAAAGAAAAGCAAAATATAAAAAAATGACCAGTCTATTCTTTGCCTAACGTTGTTTCAATGATTTGTCGCTATGTACCTTACCGTAGTGTTTGAATGGTTAAAGTTAATTGATATGCGAATAATCGGCAAACAAATTCAAATAATCGGTAAAAATATTCGAATAATCGAATCTTAAAATTTTTTAATTTATTATTTTTGATTAAATTCTTATTCTAAAATTGCTTATACAAATGCATTGACTAAAACGATTCCAATATGTCCATGTTCAAAATTCTGTTAATTGAATTATGAATAAATTACGTTCACTCCAAACAGTGAGGCAGGAAGAAGTGTGTTTATTATGAACTATTTTCTACAAAATAAGCCTATTTTCAACATAGACAAATAATTGTAAATGTGTTTAAATTTACGGCATATAAAATCTAAAACTAAAACAGCATTCCTTCATACAACCTAATAATCATCACCATCAACATTGTCATCTGTGATAACGGTGATAACGATTCTGATGATATTCGTCACCACCGTCATCACCGTTTTCATTGCCGTCATCACCGTTTTCAACACCTTAATCGTCATCGTCGTAGACACAAATGATGAATAAGACAAGTTTTTTTTATAATTTTCTACTTTGTCAGCGTAAATTTGTGTAGGCAAAAAAACTGATAATCAAATCCTGCGCTGAATAAACACTACGTAATTCCAATCTGTCGCCATTTTGGGAGCTTACTGTCCGTACTTTTGTGATTTTCTGTTTGTCTTCTTATTTTGTGACTCAGCTATAACTTTTTGGACTGATTCTACTGCATCTTTGGCACGTTATATATACTGAATTGTGACTAAGCAAGTGATCATAATGTAATTGTGATAGTTGCACTTTAAACAGTCAGGCTCCTGCATTGGTGGTGAAATAACACGAATATTTCGAACGTTAGTCACAAAACGGTGGACCCCATTTCACCAGTGACACAAGTACGGGGTCGTGTTGGTGAAGCACTCGAAATTGGCAAACGCACCGTTACGTTGTCTACGACTGAAAAGTACGGGTCTTCAGAAAAAAAAATAAAAAAGAACAAACCAGTAACATGTATCGATCTATCGATCCATTCGACGCAGATGCTGTAGAAACCATGTCTACGGCAATTTCACAAGGGGAGAATATCCTGCTGCAGCGAAGTTGCAAGAAAGTTTAATAGCTTGTACAATGGTAGTATAGAGTCATTGAGAACCATTATAAAACGCATGAACTTATTTCCGATACAAAAAAAAATTGATAAACGAAAATTGAGAAGTATATCATAGTCTTGCAAAGAATAACATTTTGAAAAATATAATCAATTCCGACAACGTCATATTGATTGATGAAACGTGGTTAAATGTCAACCACACTGTGCCGCAGATTTGGACATGACACTGCAGCATCTTGCTCGAAGATGCCCGCGTGATAGGTGGGCGCTTCATAATATGTCATGCGATAAATAACAAGAAACTGATAAATTTTGTGTTTTAAATTATCCGGTACTGATTTATTCTGGTATTAATCGAAACAAAACTGCAAATGATTACAAACTATAAAGAATCGATATCGATTTTTCTTAAGAATCGAATATTGTACGTACCGATTTTTTGGTTGGTATGCCTAGTCCAATAAGCTATCAAAAGGTTTGTCTTAGATTTGGTTGAATATAGTGCTGTTACTTTTATCCAGATATATTATCTTTATATATAAAAATTACGTGTCACGTTGTTTGTCCGCGATGAACTACTAAACTACTGAACTGATTTCAATGAAATTTTGCACACTCTGTGCAGTTTCGTCCAACTTGAGATATAGGATAGTTTTTATCCTGATAAGTGACACTCAAATTTTTTTTATTACGAATTTAAGGATTTTTTATATGAAGGGTCGTCGAAAAGGGCAGAACAACGTCTGCCTGGCCAGCTCGTGTATGTATATATTCATTTACGTAAATATATGTATATAGATATGATGATGTATATAGATGTATATGTAAGCCATAACAATTTTCTTGCATTTCACAAAGTCTCCTCTTACGACACCTACGTATACCATCTTACATATTTCTTGAACATTAATTATGGTTTCGTTAATGCGGAGTAATACCCACCTGGCAAACGATTCCCATACAATTGCACTCCGTCAGAAATACTAAATATTCTATGGGATTACGTAAATGTACTTTAGAGCTGGATTTTTTGGCTTGGTATGTCTGGGTTGGAAGCACCTGCTTACCTACTTCTTTTGCCTGTCTATGTTCTGGTTTCGGCATAACATAAAATTTTAAAGAATTGGCACTGCACGTTTTTGTTTGTTAATTGAATTGGTCATGGACCATGACCAATTCAATAATATGGCCTGCGGAATCTACCATGACTCAGATTCCGCAGGCCATATTTTTCATTTCTGTTTAATCACTCTTAGGGTTGATTCTTTTTCTTCAAAATTAAATGGGACAACCCGTGAGTTATTAAAAAGCCTGGTTAATAAAAAAGGATCATTAAATTGTTTCACAATTGACGAAGGTATCGTGTAAATATGCTGTTTGGTGTAGCATTAATATGCGTTCGTAAATATGCATTCATTTTGGTGAATCAAGTGGACTGTATGCTTGTCGTGTAACGCTAATTTATAAAAACAAACTATGACATTTTCATTAAAAAAAAAAACACTTCTTAGAGTAGACATAAGCAAGCTGTGCTTATCCTTTTTAGCCCCCGACGAAAATAGAAGGGTGTTATGTTTCTAGTGTGTATCCATGTATCTGTATATCTGTGTGTCTGTCTATGGCATCATAGCTCCTGAACGGATGAACCAATTTTGATCAAATTTTTTCGATTGAAAGGTGTCTTAATCGAGAGTGTTCTTAGATATATTTCAAGAAAACCTGTGCAGCCTTGTTGAAGATCATCAGCTCTTTTGTTTCAGGGTTTTTAAATATTTTATTTAAGTAATTAAGGCGTGGTATAAACTGACCTTGCTGGGAGCGGTCGTTGTCTGCGGAAGGGGTGGGGCTCTGCGTCTTGCTGATGGGCGACACGGACGGCGACACCACGTTGCTGCCGTCGCCGCCTGCAACAACCAAACATTACTAGCCCATAAATACTCTACCGCTGGACATACATTTTTTGGATTTAACTTTTCATTAACTATCCTAAACGTGGAGAACACTTGTTTGTTAACTAAACTACTTGGCGAAGTACCCCGAAGTTACACGAAGCGTCTCAGTACACTACTCGGCTTACGCCAGTTATGAATATTTTTTTTATATATAAAAAAAATATTCATAACTGGCAATTATTTAGTTAGTTAACGCATTTATGTCGTACTGTTCACACAATAAGGTATCTATAGCAGCTGCCTTTTGAACGTCATTCATGTTAAGGGTGCGGGCGACTCAAGAGGACTGAGCTCTTCGCGAAGTAGCACGAGTGTGTGGTCACGTTCTTCGGACTGCGATCGACTTTGACGAGCACTTAGTCGAAGTTACTTCGCGAGTAGTGTAGAGGAAGCATTAGATACGGTCGCCTTTGTGTCGCGCCGCCTTGGCACGTGCCGCGCATCTTGTCAAAGGCGCCGCCGCGACAATAAAGGTCGCCGCGTGCGGTGTATACCCGCAGGAGAATTTGGCATTTTAAAACGAAGCGCCGTAGTGAAAGGGTCTTTAGTACCTAAATTGTATTTACTATTTATATTAGTTTTTTTTTTACAAATTATGATTTTTTTTCGTAATAAGACAGATTATGTCGAAGTAATCTTTTCTTTTAAAAAGTCTTCTTCATTATAACTGAAAATATTTTTTCCCATAAAATACTTTTTCAACCGAATTAATGTAAATAACAACAAATTGGTTACCGGATAAGTTCTGTGCGTCGAGCGACACGGAGCTGCCGGTGAAGTTGCTCTGGTATCCGCTGCTCGCCTGCGAGCTCGAGTTCAGCAACTGGCTTAGTGTTATCTGTCAAACAATTTAGATTTTCAAAAATTAGAAGTGACAAGCGAACTTACAGTCCAACCGATGGTAGTGGCTATTGTGGTCCACGAACAACTGCTAACGAGTTCAAATATAGAAGGCGTTGTCACCTCTCGGGAGAAAGATGGGATGCCTCATAAGCCTATAATTATCCTGACTGTTTAGACTTTTTAGACCGTGTAGTGTACGCTATGGTTATAGGCGAACTTGGGTCATAGCTTATAGTCATACCCCCTCTTTCACGCACTTCGGTTTGACACTCCAGCAGGACAGACGAGCGAGCGCGGTGTGTAAAGTAAAGAACCGATAAGTTAGGATTTAAAATAAACAAAGTACTGACCGGAACACAGCAGTGCCTTTTGGCGGCAGAAATTGATAAGAGAGTGGTACTTACATAAAAGTTCTATCACCTAGTTAATAAAATATCACTATATAGAATTTTGGCGGTGAAGGGAAACATCGTAAGGAAACCTGCACGAGAATGATAATATTATAATTCTGGGATATGTTAAGCCAACACACTAAAGCAGCGCGGTGCGGCGGACCAAATGCATAACCTTCAGAAATGGAGAAGGCCTGCGCATAGCAGTAGGACGTATTTATTTATTTATACTTTATTGCTATAACCTTAAATAAAAGGGTTACGAGGGGCGGATTTAATGCCTTTTGGCATTCTTTCCTAGTCATACGTAGGTTTACAGATTGCCCTTAAAACACTAGTATTTATTGATTTCCTTTCAAATTATCTTTATTAAGACAACGAAGTCAAGTATTAACAATGGTTGAGTCAAGCAAAATACCGACGGCTTCCGTGGTTGTCAATTGATTTCCTTTGTTACAAAGTTGTGGATTAACCTAATCTTTAAAAAACTAAAAAACAAACTTAATGTTTAAAGAGAATCAAAGTCTAAGCAGCGAAATATAGTGTGATTCTGCAAAATCGAACACGAAGCCTAAACCTGAACCTAAGCTGGGCTGGGCGTTATTAAGAGCTGGCGTATATAAATATAAATAACAACAGTAAACCATTATAAATACAATTTATATGGAAAGAAAATAATCTTTCGTTCGTGTTCACGTGGTAGAGACATGATGCAGCTATATTATGGTCAGCTCGACCGGCATATGATCATGCTCTCACAGGAATACCAGCATGAAAGCAGCTTAATTCTGCCATATATAATAATAAATGTATTTATTACACATATGATACTGCAGTGTTTCGTATGGTGAGTGTGAAGAAACCGAGACTCTTTGTTTCTACTGAAAACGAGGCATTCCATCTTAGTCCTGAGTCTTAGTCTATGGGCCAGATAGTCCACTCACCATCAGATGTGCTAGTTTGTCCTTTATTCTATAAAAAAAATTCTGTGACTTATTTAATATTTCAGTTTAATTTATAAACCAACAAACTTACGGGCCTGCCATCAGCCGGCATTTGCTGGTAAGGCGGCTGCATCACAACCGGCTGCTGCATGCCGCCCATTTCTCCGCTTGCGCACATCGCTGCAATGAATCATAAATACAAAATTATAATGTCCTTCTTATATACAGGTAATTCATGAAAAAAAATTGGTCCAATTTCGGAAGACGAAATGGGAATATGAAATAACGATTTCGTCAATTTTTCATAGGTATCAATTGGATCAGTAAATGAAGTACCAACCGACATAAAGGAGCAAGCAAGTTTACACAAACGACACTCGATGTAGAAGAAAGGTTCTTGAGTGGCAGGTCCCCCGTATTGAAAACTCTGTATTTTGCTAGAGTACTAAATGGAGTGACAACCTGATGAAACACGCAGGCAGTCGATAGATGACTGCCCTGACCTGACCCACCCAGGTCCGTACTTTCTGGCAATCTATTGGGGAAGCTTAAGTTCAGCAGTGGATGGTTGTAGTAGTAGTAATGTCAATCATATATTATTATTGATAAAAAGCGAATATGGAATAATGATTTCGTCAATTTTCCTAAGGCACAATCAGTCCAAGGTCGGTTTTCTAGCATAGTCTTTCAGACACAGCGTGACAGCTTTAGGTAAATATTTCTTACAATGGGAGAGGTCCATGTCAACCGTTACGGACTAATTAAGAAAAATCTTTATAACGTTTTTTATTGTGTGCTGAAAGACGTTTACTAATTTAACCATATTACCCTAAGAGATTTATCACTTTTTACTAGACAACTGTGAACGAGTGAAAGACTGAGATAATATTATTTACGATATACATAGAAGATACAGCCTATATACTTCTCACAGCAATGTGATAAACATGGTGTAATAATGCGATTTATTTTGCATTTTTCTGCCAAGAAATTCTCAGTGAAAGCCCAGAATTAGGAAATTGGTATTTCTCCTTCGCGCCTCGGAAAGTACGTGAAGATATGGTCTTGTGTCTGATCTCTCTCGTCGTGGCGGATTGCCTTAGCATCGACTATGAGGGTGAGGAAGTAGAGAGTGCATCTGTGTTTGAGCGCACACTGGTGCACTTATAATTCTGTTCTGCGCAGATGGCTAATTGAGACTGACCGTCGTGACCGAAATTTGGTCTGGAGGACATTATCATTTATTATACACTAGCTTTTTACCAGCGGCTTCACCCGCGTTGGCTTCAATTTAGAAATATCCTAGTCCAAATAAAGTTAAAATTTTATAAATGTAGTTCTATTCACGACGAACGTGTGAAAGGAACTATACTCATGAACGGGAGTAGAAATATAGAGGAAATGGGTAGCAGCGTCTTTCTGATTACAGCACAAAATAATAAAATATGCAGTTGGCAACCCGCCTGCCAAGCGTGGCAACAACGGCTAATATCCAACTTATTTCGTAATCTATGGCGAATATGGGAAATATATTAGCAATGTGGAGGCGGCAAAATAGAAATCAATATATAAACCAATATAACCAATACCTCATGGGCCGGCTCACAGAATACCAGCGTCCTAGAGGCTTCCACTTCGCAGTAGCGGAGTACTTCGCTACTGCGTTTCGTCTGCTGAGTACAGGTGGCTGGAGGCCATATTCCCCCCCCCCCCCATCAACATGGTAGCGGAATCAAATCAAAGACTACCCTAGTAGGGTACCACCACCCCTGGAGAATCCCTCGCTGAGCATCCACGACCATGTTACTGCTGCGCGTAATCGTATTCTGGGGCGGGGGGGGGGGGCAATTTCCGCCCAACTACCATCGCCTCACTACTATCTCGAGACGGTGAAGCCGGCCTTACTCTTTCTGACCGAGACGCAGGTGTCCTCTCCGGCTGATACTTTGTATCTCTCCTGCCCGGGGTACAAATTGGAGCACTCCTATACGTCAGAGAGGACATCTGTTCTCGGCAGTTTTTAAGATTCGGACCTGTCCATCCTTTGGCTAGGCGTAGACAGCGACGACCATCCGCGCATCTACGGGTGCCTCTATAGGTCCCACAGCGGTAATGCCGAAACAGACCGACTCACCGATCACGTCCAAATGGCTACAGATTCCTTGCTACAACAGTTCCAATCCGCAGAGATCGTGATACTCGGTGATTTTAACGCCTACCACGCTGAATGGCTTGGTTCCCGTTTAACCGATCATGCGGGGAGATCTGTTTATGACTTTGCCTTGACATATGGTCTGACACAACTGGTTACTTCGCCTAAGCGGATTCCAGATGTGTAGGATCATACCTTCCCTGTTGGACCTTCTGCTGACCTCTCATCCGGACGGATATCAGGTTCCCGTCGATGCCCCTCTCGGCTCTTCGGACCATTGTCTGATCCGGAGTGTGGTGCCACTCACGCTCCCCTCGCAGTTGCGTTCTGCAGGTTCCCGCCGTGTTTGGTATTACAGGTAGGCGGATCGGGACGGAGTGCGGTCTTTCTTTGCATCCTACCCTTGACGGGCGGGTTTGCTTCTCGCCGGATGATCTCAGCGCTGTTGCTGACTCTGTCAATGATGTGGTGCTACAGGGAATGGAACTATTTATTCCATCATCTATGGTACCCATCGGAGGCAGATCTCAGCCTTGGTTTGGTCGCTCCTGTAAGACTGCATTACGCAGTAAGCAGGAGTGTTGTCAGGCCTGGGCTGAGGCTTCGGCGGCTCGGGTTGTAAACACCAGCATGCTTAAAAAGAAGTATAACTTCGCCTCCAGGGTTCAAAAGAGCCATTTACATATTGCCAAGGCAAAGTCAGAGCACATAGGCAGAATTGGCGAGAAACTAGTTCGCCTTCCTTCGGGAACCCGTGCATTCTGGTCTCACGCCAAGGCTGTCCAAGGAAATTTCTTTAAGACACCATCTCTGCACAGCGAGGACGACTCACTAGCCCACGCCGCAAAAGAGAAAACCGACCTTTTAGGCTCCCTGTATGCATCCAACTCCAACTCGACTCTTGATGACGGGGGGAACACACCACCGACCATCCCGCGGTGTAAGTGCTCCATGCCGGATGTGCTGTTCTCACAGCGCTCGGTTCGCAGAGCACTTCTCCCTGGACATCTACAAGTCGAGTGGGCCTGACGGAATCCCCCCAATTGCGCCGAGGACGTGTGCTCCGGAGTTGGCACCGGTTCTAACGCGTCTTCTCCGGTACTCCTACTCCCTAGGCATAGTCCCAAAATCATGGAAGACAGCTTTTGTCCACCCGATACCTAAAAAAATCGACCACTCAGACCCGTCCAACTACAGGCCTATCGCCATCACCCCCTTGTTTTCCAAAATAATGGCATCCATTATAAACTGCCAGCTCATGAGGTACCTTGAGGATCACCAGCTGTTTAGTGACTGCCAATACGGTTTTCGTCGGGGTCGATCAGCTGGTGATCTTCTGGTCTACCTCACTCATAGATGGGTGGAGGCAATAGAGTCCAAGGGGGAGGCATTAGCCACTAGTTTGGACATTGCGAAGTACTTCGATCGGGTTTGGCACAAAGCACTTCTTTCGAAGCTCCCTTCCTATGGGCTTCCGGAGAAATTGTGCAATTGGATCACCAGCTTCCTTGCAGATCGGAGCATCAAGATCGTTGTAGACGGTGCATACTTCGACTAAAAGCCTATTAACGCTGGTGTTCCACAAGGCTGCGTGCTATCACCAACGCTGTTTCTTCTGCATATCAATGATATGTTGCAAACCAGTAACATTCATTGCTATGGGGATGACAGCACTGGTGATGCTCTATACACCGGCCGTGCCAATAGTTCTTCGGAAAACGTCGCCGAGTACCGGAACAAACTTGTGTCTGAAGTCGAGTCTTTGCTGAACAAAGTCTCGGATTAGGGGAGATTAAATCTAGACCAGTTTAATCCTCAAAAGACACAAGTTAGCGCGTTTACTGCTAAAAAGAACCCCTTTGTCGTATCTCCTCAGTTTTAAGGCACTCCTCTTGTTGCCTTAGCCAGTATCGGAATCCTCGGCGTCGACATATCGAGTGACGTACAGTTTCGTGGTCACTTGGAAGAGAAGGCCAAATTGGCCTCCAAAAAGCTTGGCGTGCTCAGCAGAGCGGGACAGTATTTAATGCTGCACAACGCCTCCAACTTTTCAAGGTGCAGGTTCGGCCTCACATGGAATACTGTTCCCATCTCTGGGCTGGAGCTCCCCAGTGCCAACTCCTTCCACTTGACCGCATCCAGCGTAGAGCGGCTTGAATCGTCGACGATTGAGTTCTTTCAGATCGGCCCGATTCATTGGCGCTGCGAAGAGATGCATACCTTTGCATTTTCTTTTGCATTTACCATGGGGAGTGCTCTGAGGAATTGTTCGGATTAATCCTAGGCGCCAAATTTCACGAACGCATATCACGACATAACTTCCGATACCATCCACAGCATCTAGATGATTGGCGATCAGTAGTGGATATGCCTATTTAAAGTAAAAAACTATAAAAAAAATTTAAATCACTAATTTGGCTTCAGTACCCTTTATTTAGTCCCCTGGATTTGTTTTTTCCAGAAAATATTAAAATTACAGACACGACTTTTCTACAGGTTTATCGTTTGTATGGATGACGTTTAAAATAATTATTTTTTAATACAAATACCATATTAACTTAAAAGTATACAATTTGGAAATATACAAATATTTTACAGTACAAAGTTTACATTTATTTTATAGTAAATCACAATAAGTAGCAAGAATTTATTTTGTGTTTAATGCAATAAAGAGTAAATTTGCATAAATGAGTTACAATACTCACGGTTCCATGAAGCGGGCTGGTTCTTGTACATGAGCGGAGCGTTGTGTGGCGCGGGGAAGTGGATCTGTGCACGCGGCTGCGGCGACGGGATCAGCCAGGGCGCGTGCGAGGTGTGGGGGGTGTGGGGGGCGTGCGGGGCGTGCGCGGCGTGCGGCGTGAGGGGCGCGTGGGCAGCCAGCGCAGGGAACGCCGGCGGCGACGTGGGCGACAGCGGCGCCGCCAGCAGCGGGCTGCTGAAGCCCAGCTCCAGGAACGGCGAGCACGGCGTCGCGGCCCCGCCACTGCTGGGCGAGAACGGGTTGAAGGCGCCGAAGTTGATCGCGCCCGCGGACATGCACGGAATGTTGTACGACTCCGGGATCTTCGCAGTGATCACGGGCTCCTTGCCGCCCAGCAACTCGCGCCGGGCTTCGTAGATGTCACCTGTCACAAAATAACGGGTTTCATTGATAAGTAGGAAATTGAATATAAAAGTTATGAGTTCCATGATTTTTATGAAACTGAAAATAATTATAGTCGCATAAGGAGGCATTCCTTGGAGGGCTACATCCAGCAGTTGACCTGTGAAATGCTGAAATATTGATGATGAGGTTCATTAAAACATTTATCTGTCTTCAATTACGAAACAGATTCCATACAGATAAGTTGTTAGATTGTCCTCTTGAAGACTAAGATGAAAAGTTAAGTATTTAACTAAAACGTATGCAGTAGTCCACTGTCGGATTAAGCAAACGCGGGGCCCGTAACAAACTTTATCGAGGGGCCCTTGATCTGCTATGGGTTCTTAAGTATAAAATGGTAAACACCAACTTATACTTAAGAACCCATAGCAGCCAATACTCAATACGTTTATTTGCCACCTATAGGTTACAATTTTGTTGGTGTTTCATAGTAGAACTGAAAGAAACTGCCAATACTACACAAATAATTGTAAATCTTTTTAGTACATATTTTAAAGTTTTTAAAGTATTTATTGCTAAGTATATTTTTAGGAATAGCTAATGTTACAATTTGTCTTGACTTAACTGACCTTAAATTATGTGTATATTTTAAATATAATTATCTGTTTCTGTTATTACTTTTTAAACTACTTTTCTAGATTTCATGTCAAAATTTAGAAATCTACAATCCATACCAATTTCTCTAAACAAATCATATTTTATATACATCATAGAGATAATTCAGGCGTTCTTAACTTGAGAATTCCTTAATTTACTTTTTATACGGTTCAATGTTGAAAATTTGCCGTGTAGTGGCGGTCAAGAATACCACTACCCCATATCCTCCCATGGGTGTTGTAAAAGGCGACAAAGGGAAACAGACAGGAGATGGGCAGCAGCATCTTCCTGATAATAGCCAAAATTACAATAAAAAAACTGCGGTTGCCAACCCGCTCGCCAAGCGTGGCAACTATGGCAAATACCCCCCTATGAATGTAACAAAGAGACGGCCCCCAGTCCCCGGCGGCCCCGCTATTCCTGGCTACGGTGGCGACCATGGTAACGGCGGGGCAGGGGGTGCTAAGAATCTCCGGTGGAGGTTCGGTTGCCACCTTAGACGACTCGACCTGGCAACGTACAACGCACCCACCCTGAGGACTGACGAGAAGATCGTGGAGCTGGAAGAAGAGATAGACAAGTTGCGCTGGCATATTATAGGATTATCCGAAGTCCGAAGAGAGGGGGAGGACACGGTAATCCTCGAATCCGGCAACTTGCTCCATCACCGGGAGGGCGACCATCTGTCCCAAGGAAGTGTCGGATTTATCGTCCACAAGTCTCTCGTTAACAACGTTGTAAAGATCGGGAGTGTGTTGACGAGGGTTGCGTACCTTATACTCAGAATCACCAAACGGTATTCGCTGAAGGTCATACAGGTTTACGCACCAACCTCGGCACACCCCGATGGGGAGGTGGAGGAAATGTATGAGGATATCTCTAGAGCCACGCATTCCTCCAAAACCCAATATACGGTGTTAATGGGAGACTTCAATGCAAAACTAGGCACAAGAGAGAACGGTGAGCTGAAAGTAGGGAAATTTGGAATAGGGCAACGGAACCCAAGGGGCCAGCAGCTGGCCGACTTCATGGAGAAAGAGGGACTCTTTATGATATATCGCTTCCCGTCGTCTGTACGCTTAGATCTTTTAAACGACGCAACAGATTTTGACTCGGATTTCATCAATAAACAAAATGATTCAAGAGGAAGTTGTATATGTATAATAAATACATATTATATACCAGTTAGATTAAACTAGCTGATACCCGCGACTGCGTCCGCGTTGCTTACCCACATAATTGAATACGTAGTGCTATAGAAATCGTTAATTCTTAAAACTAATAACTTTATATTAAATGAAGATATCGCACCATATTTTTTTTTAAATAAAGGCCAAATGTTTAAGAAATAAAATTTAGAAAACCTAATTGAAATCTATGCAGTAGTTTTTCCGTGATGCGCGCACAACTGCAAACCTCTATCATTTTGTTTATATAGATTATATGTAATTCTTTTGTCCGTGTGTACGAGACTGAACTCTTCCTAAACGGCTGGACCGATTTTAATGAAATTTTGTGTATGTGATTAAATTGATTAGAGAATGATTTAGTTACATAATTGAACCGGGTAACCAACCGCGTTGTTGTTGAGATCCAGAAATCAACCGTGCGAAGCCGGGACGGATTGCTAATTATTTTTAATTTCGAAGTATTGGTGTCATAAGGGTAACTGTGGAAAATGACACATCATAATATGGTCTTCAAAACATCGAGGATATACATATTCTTATAAGTCAGATGTCAAACACTTAAATCGACGATAGAGAACAGCATTCTAGACATCTAGTATGTAAAACGTGTGAATTACGGCGAACTAAATCTGACAATGACAGATGTGGATATCCAGCACTGGATGCTTTGACTGGATGTCGCAGGCTTTGCCAAGAAAGAAAAAGAACTAGACATTACTCACTAGCACATCTCTCGATGCCTTTTATTACAACTGAAGCGATGCCCTGCTTTGGCTTGCGACGTATACTGATGTATACGTTGTGCTTCTGCATCAGTTTCGCTGCCGCGTCGTTATCTATGCGACACGCTTCTTCCGACACGTCGAATATCACCACGAGAGGGAGGCTGCCCTGTACAAAAATACGACAATGGTGATTTTTACTTGTTTACTAAATTATTAAATGGACTAGATATATATCGACTTTCTGTACTTCTTTTCTTTTTCTTCGCACTACTTGAAGGTAGATAATGCCCCAGGCATTTAATCCGCTTATACAATATGTAACAAAAACCCTGTGGTTCCCGATAAGTATGTTATCAGGATCATTATTCAAACGTATAGAAATAACTTTTTTTTTAAAAACTCGAACAATATTTTTTTTTAATTTATTTAAAAAAATAATTATATGCAAATTGTATGTGGTTTTATTACCTCCGCATTGTCTGGGGAGTAAGAGGATTGTCAAAGACCCCGTTTTACTTAGCTTTAGCATCGGCTAGTGTCAGTAAGAGGTAATAAAACCACATAAAATTAAAAAAAAATTAATAAATTTAAAAATAATATATGGTTGAGTTTTTAAAAAAAAAGTTATTTCTATAGGTTTGAATATATAAAAAAAAATGATTTTAAGCTCCCAAACTTGTGTCTGAAGTCGAGTCTTTGCTTAACAAAGTCTCGGATTGGGGCAGACTAAATCTAGTCCAGTTCAATCCCCAGAAGACACAAGTTTGCGCGTTTACCGCTAAAAAGAACCCCTTTGTCGTATCTCCTCAGTTTCAAGGCACTCCCCTTGCTGCCTCAGCCAGTATCGGAATCCTTGGCGTCGACATATCGAATAGCGTGCAGTTTCGTGGTCACTTGGAAGGGAAGGCCAAATTGGCCTCTAAAAAGCTTGGCGTGCTCAGCAGAGCGAGACAGTATTTCATGCCGGCACATCGCTTGCAACTTTACAAAGCGCAAGTTCGGCCCCACATGGAATACTGTTCTCATCTCTGGGCCGGGGCACCCCAGTGCCAGCTCCTTCCACTTGACCGCATCCAGCGCAGAGGGATTCGAATCGTCGACGACTGAGTTCTTTCCGATCAGCTCGATACACTGGCACTGCGTAGAGATGTTGCATCTCTTTGCGTATTTTATCGCATCTATCACGGGGAGTGCTCTGAGGAATTGTTCGGACTAATTCCAGCCGCTCAATTTCACCATCGCACGTCGCGACAAAACTCGCGTTACCATCCGTACCATCTGGATGATTGGCGGTCCACCACTGTGCGATTTAGAAGAAGTTTTCTCCCTCGCACAACTTCTTTGTGGAATCAATTACCATCAGCGAATTTTCCGAACCGATACGACTTAGGAACCTTCAAGAAAAGAGCCTACTCCTTTTTAAAAGGCCGGCAACGCATCTGCAATTCCCCTGGTGTTGCGGTTGTTCATGGGCGGCGGTAGTCACTTACCATCAGGTGAGCCGCAAGCTGAGGTAGAGACTTGAACTTTTGGACATAGTTCAGCATCGGATGACAATGTAAGAATAAAAATAGGTGTTATATAATTTTTTTGCCACTAGCCCACTAGAATGTAAGTGGATGCTGTGGTCCATAGCCATCCATCCTCGATAAGAATTTACATGCAGATACGTTGTCCCTCCTGAGGACCAAGATGAAATGCCTCGTTTCCAGTAAAAGGGTTCAATTTATAAAATACTTTTAGGTGCATATCTGTGCGTCCGGCAGTGGACTTTTACTTACGAGCTGTCAAAGAAAAAAAAAGAAAAAATATGTGTGTGTAATTGCGTCAACAAGTTGTTAATAGACACATAATATATATAATTGTGCGGCAGTTATAGCATGAGGGTGTTACCACAAGCTGTTGCCTCGCCGCGTAGACGTCCTTCATGTGTCCCGTGATGGTGACGCAGCTCTTGCGCAGCGCGGGGATGTTGGGGTCGTCGGCGTCGGGGAACATGATCTGCGTGCGCGTGGCGCGCATGATGGCCTTCAGCTGCTCGGCGCCGCGCCCCACCACCGCGCCGTGGTGCATCGCCGATATCTCCACGCTCATCTGCACTTGCGTCTGGCTCTGCACAAATTCATTCATATTTATACATACCAAGCTTCCTCCTGTTGGACTCACGTTTTGTATTCTCCCTTAAGTTGCAAGCAGAAGAAAGAAATTTCCCAATAGCTCTAGAGAAATGTAGTGAAAACGAAATATCTTAAGACTTTAATAAAGACAAGCAGGACACAACGCTTGCCTCCCTAAGGAAGGCAAGGATTTCTCCGTGTAAAAAAAATATGCTCAGTATAGGAAATATATTCTAACAAATTATACATTCAATCGAAGACTTACAGCTAAGGGTCCGCACATGTAGTTCATAAGCAGTCCGGTGGCCTCCATGGTGGCCTGCACTTCCCACTGAACTCCTTTCACCACTAACAGGTTCGCGTGTAGCTTTGGACGATTGCGCACCATCACCTTTAATTAAATAATTACTATAACACCTTTTATACAATGAATGCAAAAAATACTCAAACGCTGCTCACTTATACGATACCCTTAAATCTCGCGCTGCGACAGTAGATGTCACTTTATCGAAATCAAAGTGACATCACAAAACTTAAAAAAATCTTAAAATTGAGTAACTTTAAGTATTTGCCCATAATGGTGACAACCAGCATAATGGTGGTAGCTGTATGCTGTTACACTGTTATACTTTTTTATAGAATAGGGTGACAAACGAGCACACATTCCACCTGATGGCAAGTGGTTGCTGTGACCCATAGATATCTACATCTATCCCCAATAAAGACTCAAAATGCAGATGCTTTGTCACCCATGAGGACTAAAATGCAATGCCTCTTTTCCAGTAAAATGGATCTCCAGTTCTCTACATTCACCATTCGAAACACAGCAGCGCTAAGCTGCTATTTTACGCTAGTATTCTGTAAGAGCGTGGCCCTTCCCCGGTCGAAGCAACCCATTCGTGCTACAACTATACTACTAATATAGCTGCAGCATGGCTCTAGGAACCGAAATCCAGATGCGTTATCACCCCTGAAGACTAAGATGGAATTACCTCTACCAGTAAAAAGTTAAATTTATTCAGAAAATGTAAAGGTTATTGTCTCTTTCTGTACTATTAGCTATATTTTATACTAGCTGTGCCCGCGGCGTAGCTCGCGTATACAGGTTTTACATAAACAATTTGTCGTTTAGGTAAGAGAATATTAAACGATTTATTTCATTACTGTATCAATAAGTGGTAACTAAATAAATCATTATCATCAAAGTTCTAAGTCGTTTATGATAGAGCTTCTGTGTAAACGACGTGAGAAATAGGCTTAGCCGGGGTGTACACTAAAAGGTTACGGGGGCTACTAACGCGGGAAAAAGCAACATAGAGTTGGCCATGTGCAAAACAGTCAGTACTGAGGTACACTCCTACAACGCGTAAAGTTTGACCTTGCGCTTTATTTACGGTCATCGCATAACACACGCTCACTGTAACTGGGAACTGAACGCGCTTAAAACTGAAAGGAAAGTTACTTCTTAATAGAGGGTTTTTGGGCAGTGCAGCCAGATAAAAAAGAACTAATTCAGCTCTAGGACAACACAAAAAGCGCTAGATTTCATGAAAACAGCGCTTTAAAAAAGCCCTAGATTTCGCGCTAAATTAACTACAAACAAAGTTTTTTTTTTTATATAATCATAATAAAGAAAACAAGATTAAGTTTTTTTTCTGGCAATATTTTTTTGATGTATCAATACTTCGCAGGACATCGACTTATAATTATGGCAATTGCTGTCAACAGTAGTTAGTACTGTACGAACAATAAAAATGTCATTAATTGTTTTAAAGTGCAATGTATTTCGAAACTTAGTTTCAGATGTCAGCATCTGATTGCGGTTGCTACACAGTTTCTTTGTGTTATAACTTCTAAGTAACTTTTAACTTAGCTGTGCTCTAAGCAACTGACTGAAACTGAATAAAGCAAAATAAATGCGTTGCCAAAACCATGAACGAAAACTTTAATAAAGGGGATTTCCCCGCTTATAGGTAAAAAAATCAAGTTGATCATCCTAAAGGGGAAGCCAGGAGATCCATAGCACAGGGTATCCTAGTTTGGACTCGTCTCCCATGCTCTTTGTTTTGTGGAAAAAATATGTTTGAAAAAGATAAACTGCAATGTACTATTTGTGGGAAAAAATAATAAAGGTCGTTATTATTATTATCGGTAATGTGAACTAACAGTGCTGCTATAAAAGAGTTAATAACCCGCTAGTCGCTAAAATATTGAAATGTGTGCTAAATACACCAAGAAGCGCTGGATTAAGCTAGGTGTTAAAATTTCGAAATGCGCGCTATACATTCCAAAAAAGCGCTAAATCTAGTTCCCAAAGCGCTAAAGTGGCAGTACTGATTTTGCGTATATTATAAATACAATATCACGACATTACGTTGCAAAATTTTTATTTTTGGTCGGATTCCGTTGTATGGCTTCGATGGATACAAATTTCTTCAGTAAGTCTCAATACGATTCATCGGCGAAAAATCTCAACACAGCAATTCAGAAAAGTTTGTAATTTGTACAACTCCATCTATTACGTCCTTTGTGTGAGAAAACATCCTTTTTAAATCTCTTTTTGTGTTTTAAGTATAAATATATTAATTATTATGGAACGTTTTTTTTACACACAAATCTTTTTATTACTATATCTGAGATTTTATGGCGCCATTGAACAAATTCGAACCTACATTTCAAAATAATAATCATTACTTTCGATAGAATTAACCAATTTTAATAAAACAAAGATTAAATGTAACTCGAAGATACGCTTTATGATTTTCTTAACGATTTCTTTGAAAATAAAAGATGTTTACTTTAGACGTGATGCGTTCATATAATAACAGACAAATAGACATACAGACAATTCTAAAAATTATAAAATGTTCTTATTTAATTATTTTCAGTTCCCCATAATGATTTTAGCCACCAAAATATATACCTATACAATGTAAAGAAAGAGACACAATATGTTATCATCATTTTTATTATATGTATATATTTAAAGAGAGATGGCGCTGCTAACATCAATTATAAAAATAAAAGAGATTAATTGACGCGATTGATACATTATATAAAACGCAAGAGAACTTATAAATCAGTGCCTGCACAGTAAGCAAAAAATAAAGTTTGACTCTCGCCAAAACCAACGCAATTGTTAATAGCTCTTTTAAAATTTGATTTACCACATAGAGTACTCGGCGGTAAAGAAAAAATTGAGTTTGTCAACACGCAGTAGGGCAGCGAGTAATATAATAAAGATTAGCAGTAAATATGAAAACTCATCTACAGGAAAAAACCACATTGCAATTGCATTACATTTTCACAACACCACCATCTATCGAAGAAATGGGAAAACTATTGTGCTTCAGATTTAGTTAATAAGGTTAATATATTTTTGTATAATATATTTAATACGTTCTTTAATACTTTTGTTTACTGCGTTTTAGATATACATAATTATATCATTATTTTACATAATTTAACTATGATTTATGATATGATATATTAGTTTAAAATGCACCTGATGACTCAAACAAAGCCACCGTTGAGCAAATTCGTACCTATACTTCCCTACCCATACTTCAGAATATTTATCAGAACTTTTGATGGAATGAACTGATTTTAATGAAATAAAGACTAAATGTAACCCGAAGATACACTTTATAATTTCCTTAACAATTCTTATGATATAAATTAGTACTTTATACGTGATACGTTAACAAACAAACAGACAGACAGACAGAAAATTCTAAAAATGGTAGAAATGTATTTAATTACTTATTTTTAGTACCCCTCAATCACTTTTATTACAAAAATATAAAATGTACAGACATCTGCTATTTACAGTTTTATTATATGTATAGATTAATAAGATTTAAAATAAATAAACCAAACCACAGATATTCATAAAAACAAAATAAAAAAAAGTTAAAAATGTGCAAAAAATAAAAGAGCAAACCACTGAGGCATTGTATCTCTAGAAACGGATAAACTTTTATTTAAAACCAACGTCTCAATTAAATAACATTGTGTAACAAAAACCTTTACCTCAGTGTCAACTAGCGACATCTGGTGAGTAGAAAACTATTAGCCGTCATTGAGATCTGCAGCGTGTCTCTACCACGTACCATATATTTATGGTACGTGGAGAGACGCGGATGCTGAGGCCCATAGACATTTGCATCTATTCTGGATTAAGAATCAAAATGCAAATGCGTTATCAGCCGGTTCGGCCGGTCACTCACTGCTGCTTATTTTATGCTTGTATACTGTATGTGTGTTATATACTGCAGCGGTAATTTACTGTACGTGACTTAAGCTACTTCACATGCGACATGACCACTTGCTGGCGGTGAAGAACACTAAATAAAGACAAATAATATATTGTATTAGACAACATATATTGTATTCAATGTATCTTTTGTTTTTAGTCGGAGACCGATGCATACGAAATATTGAAAACATTTCGACGAAATTTTCGAAGCGCTGTTAGCGGGGTCAGTCATGGTGCACCTAAAAAGTTAACATTGTGATTATAGCAGGTTCGATTGAACGTCATAACGGCACTTTATACCTGCACGTTGTACTGTTCCTGCACTTGCTGCACGTAAGGCGAACTGATGTCGGGCAGCGGCTGCGAGGGCGCCACGATCGGCAGCTCGAAGCAGAACACCAGCGGCGTCAGCGCCTGACACACAACACTTATTGTATACAATTGAAATTGTTAAAGTGAGCATCCCACTCAAATATCAACATAAATTAAACTTACAGCCTTGGGATCCTCTCCCAGTCAACCAAGGCCGTGATAGATTTTTATAGAACGGTATATTTAGTAATAAAATGGAATTTACTTATTATTATTGACTTTATAGATTAAGCAGAAAATTAAAATTAATGCTAAAAATAAGAAAAATTAAGTCTCTTGCTACCACCTGCAGTCTGGAATTAAGATAATTTAGGGTTGATTTAAACAACATAGCCTAACAGATTAGTTAGCTGAAGTAGTAATGGGCCGGTCATATAGTTCGAAGGACCGACAACCGATGGGGAAAAAAGGTTCTCGAGTGGCAGCCTCGTACCGGTAGGCGAAGTGTTCGGCGACCCCCACTAAATGCAGTGACGACCTGGTAAGACTTGCAGGAAATCGATGGATGCAGGTGGATAAGGACCGTGCTTTGTGGATTCTTTGGTGGAGGCCTATGTTCAGCAGTGGACTTATGAAGGGCTATAATGATGATGATGATGAGGGTTGGATTTTCCAATCATCTTTTTTTTTTTTGTTTATAGGAGAGGGGGCAAACGAGCATGCGGCTCACCTGATGGTAAGTGACTACCGCCGCCCATGAACAACCGCAACACCAGGGTAATTGCAGATGCGTTGCCGGCCTTTTAAAAAGGAGTAGGCTCTTTTCTTGAAGGTCCCTAAGTCGTATCGGTCCGGAAAAATCCCTGGTGGTAAACTATTCCACAAGGAAGTTGTGCGAGGAAGAAAACATCTTCTAAATCGCACAATGGTGGACCGCCAATCATCCAGATGGTGTGGATGGTATCGGGAGTTCTGCCGCGATGTGCGTTCGTGAAATTTGGCGGCTGGGATTAATCCGAACAATTCCTCAGAGCACTCCCCATGGTAGATGCGAAAGAAAATGCAAAGAGATGCAACATCTCTTCGCAGTGCCAATGAATCGAGCCGATCGGAAAGGGCTCGGTCGTAGACGATTCGAGCCGCTCTGCGCTGGATGCGGTCAAGTGGAAGGAGCTGGCACTGGGGAGCCCCTGCCCAGAGATGGGAACAGTATTCCATGTGAGGCCGAACCTGCGCCTTGTAAAGTTGCAGGCGGTGTGCCGGCATGAAATACTGTCCCGCTCTGCTGAGCACGCCAAGCTTTTTAGAGGCCAATTTGGCCTTCTCTTCCAAGTGACCACGAAACTGCACGTCACTCGATATGTCGACTCCGAGGATACCGATACTGGCTGAGGCAAGAAGGGGAGTGCCTTGAAACTGTGGAGATACGACAAAGGGGTTCTTTTTAGCGGTAAACGCAAACTTGTGTCTTCTGAGGATTAAACTGGACTAGATTTAGTCGCCCCCAATCCGAGACTTTGTCCAGCAAAGACTCGACTTCAGACACAAGTTTGTTCCGGTACTAGGCGACGTTTTCCCGAGAAATATTGGCCCGGCCGGTGTATAGAGCATCACCAGTGCTGTCATCCGCATAGCAATGAATGTTACCAGTTAGCAACATATCATTGATATGCAGAAGAAACAGTGTTGGTGATAGCACACAGCCTTGTGGAACACCAGCGTTAATAGGCTTGTAGTCAGAACATGCACCGTCTACAACGACCTTGATGCTCCGATCTGCAAGAAAGCTGGTGATCCAATTGCACAATTTCTCGGGAAGCCCATAGGAAGGCAGCTTTGAAAGAAGCGCTTTGTGCCAAACCCGATCAAAGGCCTTCGCAATGTCCAGACTAACGGCCAACGCCTCCCCCTTGGACTCTACTGCCTCCGCCCATCTATGGGTCAGGTAGACAAGAAGATCACCAGCTGATCGACACCGACGAAAACCGTATTGGCGGTCACTAATCAGCTGGTGATCCTCAAGGTACCGGATGAGCTGGCAGTTAATAATGGATTCCATTATTTTGGAGAACAAGGAGGTGATCGCGATAGGCCTATAGTTGGACGGGTCTGAGCGGTCGCCTTTTTTAGGGATCGGGTGGACAAAAGCTGTCTTCCATGAATTCGGGACTACGCCTTGGGAGTAGGAGTACCGGAAAAGACGCGTTAGGACCGGTGCCAACTCCGGAGCACACGTCCTCAGCACAATTGGGGGGATTCCGTCAGGCCCACTCGACTTCTGGATGTCCAGGGAGAGCAGTGCTTTGCGAACCGAGCGCTGTGAGAACAGCACATCCGGCATGGAGCACTCACACCGCGGGATGGTCGGCGGTGTTTTCCCCCGTCATCAAGAGTCGAGTTGGACGCAAAAAGGGAGCCTAAAAGGTCGGCTTTGTCTTTTGCGTCATGGGCCAGTGAGTCATCCTCCCTGTGCAGAGATGGTAGTGATGGCTTACAGAAATTCCCTTGGACAGCCTTGGCGAGAGACCAGAATGCACGGGTTCCCGAAGGAAGGCGAACTAGTTTCTCGCCAATTCTGCCTATGTGCTCTGACTTTGCCTTGGCAATAACTCTTTTGAAGGACCTGGAGGCGAAGTTATACTTCTTTTTAAGTGTGCTGGTGTTTACATCCCGAGTCACCGAAGCTGCAGCCCAGGCTTGATAACACTCCTGCTTACTGCGCAATGCAGTCTTACAGGAGCGACCAAACCAAGGCTGAGATCTGCCTCCGATGGGTACCACAGATGATGGAATAAATAGTTCCATTCCCTGTAGCACCACATAAGTGACAGAGTCAGCAACAGCACTGGGATCATCCGGCGAGAAGCAAACCCGCCCCCATGGGTAGGATGCAAAGAAAGACCGCATTCCGTCCCAATCCGCCGACCTATAATGCCAAACACGGCGGCAACCTGCAGAACGCAACCGCGAAGGGAGCGTGAGTGGCACCATACTCCGGATCAGACAATGGTCCGAAGAGCCGAGAGGGGCATCGACGGAAACCTGATATCCGTCCGGATGAGAGGTCAGCAGAAGGTCCAACAGGGAAGGTGTATGATCCTCCACATCTGGAATCCGCGTAGGCGAAGTAACCAGTTGTGTCAGACCATATGCCAAGGCAAAGTCATAAACAGATCTCCCCGCATGATCGGTTAAACGTGAACCGAGCCATTCGGCATGGTGGGCGTTAAAATCGCCAAGGATCACGATCTCTGCGGATGGGACCTGTTGTAGCAAGGAATCTGTAGCCATTTGGACGTGGTCGATGAGTCGGTCTGTTTCGGCATTACCACTATGGGACCTATAGAGGCACCCGTAGACGCGCGGATGATCGTCGCTGTCTACGCGTAGCCAAAGGATGGACAGGTCCGAACCTTCAAGACTGCCGAGGCGTCGAGAACAGATGTCCTCTCTAACATACACGCAAACTCCAGCCCGAGGCACAAAGGAGTGCTCCAATTTGTACCCCGGGTAGGAGAGATACGAAATATCAGTCGGAGAGGAAACCTGCGTCTCGGTCAAAAAGAGCAAGGCCGGCTTCGCCGTCTCGAGATGGTAGTGGACGGCGTTTAGGTTACAGTGAAGTCCCCTGATGTTGCAGAAATTCACGGATAGCGTGGCAGGGGTCGCCTTGGTATTGTTGCTCAGCTTGCCCCGAGCAGTTTTGTTTTTGAGCGGAATTTTGCCCCCCCCAGAATACGCGGGGCAGCCTGAGCACCCACGCTCAGGATTGGAATAACATGGTCGTGGATGCTCAGCGAGGGATTCTCCAGGGGTACTGGTACCCTCCTGGGGTAGTCTATTGTCTAATTCCGCTACCATGTTGATGGGGGGGGGGGGGAATTGGGCCTCCGGCCACCTGCACTCACCAGACGAAACGCAGAAGCAGAGCCTCTACTTCACGCCGGTATTCTGTGAGGTCGTGGTACCAATCCGGCTCGAGCCGGCCCAAACGTGCAACAGCAAAAAACTGCTGCAGGGCTCTACCACCGTTAATCGGATAATAGTGATTCATAAGATATAATACACCATATACAAATTAAATATTGCAGTTGTATGAATTACACAGTTCAATTGTGTCACTTTTTAACCAACTTCAACAAGGACGAGGTTCTCAATTCGAGTGTATTTTTCTTCTGTATGCATGTTACGCGACATCTTCGCAGTAAATGAACAGATTTTAATGATTCTTTTTTATTAAATAGGTTATACTTAAAGGGTGGTCCCATATAAATATGGAGAAAAAATTCCACCAGAATAATTTCTTTAGGGTAGCAAATAAATAATTTCTTTTTTAGCAATTTGAAGGTGGTTTTTACTTTTTGTTAAAAGTTATAATATATTGTCAGGTTATTAGTCTAATAATTTTTGATTCCATTCATATCATCGTATGTCATAAAAATCTCTAGTCAACTTTTTCGATTCTCGCAGTACAAAATAGGCCAATGGATCAATTTCCACATCGTAACGATTTAACGTCTGATCTCCTGTTTCATATTGTTCTATATAATCATTAGTTCGTAAAGGTACAACCGATATACGTCCCACTGCTGAGCACAGACCACAGACCTCCTCTTATTGTTGACAGGGTATTAATTCAAGGACATGTCCGCCGCGCTGCAACAATGCGTTTTGGCGAACAATACGACACGTGTTTCGTCTCTACACGTCGTCAGTGGTGTATCTTTCCTAGTGTAGTTGTGTTGGGAGTAGTGGTGCTGCAGGGCTAGCATGGGCAGGAGACAATTTTATCCCCGGGGAAAGGTGAAAATGTTTATCCCCTCGCTTAGTTTTATCCACCCTTCGAGCATGGGCACACTGATGGATATAATATCCACAGTAGATAAAATGGGAGATAGACTTAAGACTTAGATAGATTTTTGTATGAATATAAACTTAAACCCACGTCCAATGAACTAGGATAAAATTGTCCCTTTCAAAAGAATTAAGGTATATTTATTTATCTTTCATTTGGCTCCATGTTACTAACGGTGGATATACTTCTCCCCGTTGCCGTGCTTTGGCATAGGGACAAGATAATTTTATCTCTTGCCAGCGGATATAATCGGGGGATAAAATTTATGTCCCCAGCCCATGCTAGCCGTGCTGGGATTAGTGGTGACGGGGATAGTTCACGCAATTGAGGGAGGGCGGGAGGTGCTCTTCAAAGTAAATAAGACCCATCATTTTATTTTATCGAGCGGATGTACGCAGGAAAATTTTTACCAATTTTAATATAATGGATTTCCGCAAAGTAACAAAAAAAGCTTCACAATGATCATGGCCTTCCCTGGAGATTAAATTCAAGTTCATTTCCCCATATATACCTGTATTTAAATATTGCGCAAATATTGCCAATATTGATTTATCGTCTGTAGGTATATATGTTTTCGTTCTCTTTTTTTAATGATAAAAATAAACAAACATCTAGGCCTAGAATGAAGTACGACCTATATTGGAAGGCCTTACAAATCACCTTATTCGCTAAGATAGATTGATGTATCCCGCTGCGGGACTTTCTATTTAATTTTTTTTTATCTCACCCGTACACGTGCCCTGGCCTGTTCCACTCTCTCCATATCACCGGCTATTGACACTTGGTTGCTCTTCTCCATGGTGCTGGTGCGGTTCGAATCCGGAAAGTGGATGTGGCAGCCCGTCTCTTCCATCACGCGTTTGATTGTGAGCCCGCCCTGGGACAATACAAATTTTAAAATTCAATACAATACAATACAATATACTACAATACTCTTTTATTGTACACCAAAAAAAGTAAAAAAATATCAAAAAGAATACAAACTATAAAGGGCGGTCTTATTGCTTGCTACATAGCAATCTCTTCCAGACCACCCAGAAGAAGAAATAAGTAAAAATAAGAAAAAGAACAATGGGTAGGGTGCACTAATATAAAAAATAAAAATAAAGATAAAGATACAAACTTATGCATTAAGAAGACAACATTCTTCAGGTAGATCAATGACCATAATTAAGCGGAGGAATGGAGAGAGGTTAGAGAGACAAATAGTATTCCTTAACTTGTTTCTGGAACACATATAAGGATCGAGCACTTTTAATTGACTGGGGTAAGGAGTTCCAAAGTCTTACTCCAAGAACAGAAAATGATTTGTCATAATAAGTCGAGGAGTTTAAAAACATTACAACACTTAATATTATAAAGAGGTATATGTATAATCCGATTCAAAAAATTCTTTCTCTGAAAGAAAGCTGCACTATTTCTAAGTTATATTGTCTATGCATTCTATTCAATTATAGAACTACGCCTGTAGACCTCGAGGGGTTAGGCAGAGAGCAGCGAGCTACACGGACGTCTAGCTAAACAAGTGGTAAAATCAAAAATTTTGTACAACCGCCTTCAATACAAATAAAATGAGAATATCAGATACTACTAATTTTGATCAGTTATTACATCGGTCAATAAGTCCCGAGCCTGACGTATAGATGGCGCTGTTAGGGAAAAATTATTTTTACTTTTAAAAAGAACAGACTTCTATAATAATCTGTGCAAATTTTTATAACCCCTGAATAATTTTTTTAAAAGTTAGGGTGAGTTTTGGCGCCACTTTGAAACTTTTTTTTTCGAAACAATGGACGAAACAGAATATCGAGTGCTAATTAAACATTGTTTTTTATTGAAGAAAAATACCGTTGAAGCAAAAAGTTGACTTGATAAGTGTTATGGGGACTTTGCTCCATCAAAAGCAACAGTTAAACATTGGTGTGCTGAATTTAAGCACGGACGAACAGACACAAATGATGGTGAACGCTCTGGACGCCCAAATGAGGCTGTTATTTCAGAAAACATAAAAACGCTCACAAAATAGTTTTGGAAGACCATAAAATGAAATTGAAAGAGATAGCCGACGACCTAAAGATATCTAAAGGTAGTGCATTCACCATTCTGCATGAGCATTTGTCTATAAGAAAGCTTTGTTCCAAGTGGCTACCCCTTTTGCTCACCGTTGACCAAAAGCATCACCGTTTTGAAGCCTCAGAGTTTAGAGTTATTTAGGCGGAATAAAAAGGATTTTTCCATGGGGTATGCCACAATGGATGATACTTGGACCCACCACTACACTCCAAAAGGCAGTCAAGGGAGTGGACAGTAACCAATGAAACCCGCCCAAAGCGACCAAAAACTCAAATTTCAGCCGGAAAGGTTATGGCATCCGTGTTTTGGGATGTGCATGGTATAATATTTATAGACTACCTACAGAAGAGAAAAAGGATCAATAGCGAATATTATGTCATTATTAGTGCGTTTGATGGAGGAAATCGCGAAAAACGGTCTCAAATGCAAAAGAAAAAAGTTATTTTTCATCAGGAAAATGCACCATGTCACAAGTCTATTGGCACCATGTCGAAACATAAAGAGTTAAAGTTTGAGTTGCTTGCTCACCCACCGTATTCGCCAGATTTAGCCCCCAGCGACTGTTATTTGTTCGCTAACATAAAAAAATGCTATCCGGAAAGAAACTTGCCTTAAATGAAGAAGTGATCGCCGAAATTGAAGCGTATTTTGAAGGGTTGAACAAATCATATTATAAAAAAGGCATAGAAATGTTAGAGCGGCGCTGGAATGAGTGTATCAGTCTTGAAGGAGACTATATTGATAAATAAAATTGAATTTTGAATAAAAATTATTTATTACTTATTGTCCGATGGGTTAATATTATTTTAAATTAAAAATTTTGTACAACCGAATGCAATATAAATTATTAAGAATAACGCAAAAACTATTGGTCAGACCTTGATCAAATTTATATGGGACCACATGTGAAGCACTAGCTTTCAAATAAAAAAAGAATCATCAAGATCGGTCCCCCCAGTAAAAATTTATGAGGATAAAAATATACAGTCGAATTGATTATTGTCTCCTTTTTGAAGTCGGTAGAAAACTATGTTTCATGATCAAAATTAGTAGTAGGTATCCAGTACTAACGATCCACTCCGGCTTCGCACGGTTGATTTCTAGATCTCGACAACAATGCCACCTACCGTGTCCAATTGTGAATCTAAACCATTCTCTAATCAACTTATTTCATCAAAATCGGTCCAGCCGTTTAGGAGGAGTTCAGTCACATACACACAGTCAGAAGAATTATATATGTTATATAATATGCATGTAATAGACATAATTATAAACTTTCCTCTTGAATCATTTTGTCTATTTATGAAAACCGCATCAAAATCCAGCACGCAGTTTAAAAGATCGAAGCGTACGACACGCGACGCGACGGCGGGAAGTTTTGTTGATACTTTGTTTTACCATGTAGAGAAGAGATGAAATCAGGATATTTGTATTAATCGAGTCTTTACTGACGCTGATCAAACGCTTTGAATTATTAAAATAAATGAAAGTTACTTTAGTTTTTCTACGGACTTCAGAAAGGAGGAGGTACTCAAGGTACTCAATTCGACTATGTTTTTTTATTATGTGTGCTACCTCATAACTTTTTTCTACTTGAACCGATTTCGAAGATTCTTTTTTATTTGAAAGCTAGTGCCTCTCGTCTGGTCACATATAAATTTTATCAAAGTCTGACCAATAGTTTTTGAGTTATCCTTAATAATATATATTGTAGTCGGTTGTACAAAATTGTTTGATAATTCTTTATAATTCTATTTGGTTGATAATTCTTTTCGTTTGTAATAATTAGTAAAGAAAAATACATTGCTTTTACACGAATTCCACGCGAGCGAAGCCATGCGGAAATGCTAGATAAGTATAATACGATCCAGGATCCTAGTGGTCAGACTACCTGGTTATAAGCTCAAGTTAGAGCTAACAAATGAGAAAAAACGCAACTTGTTCATTTTCGCGTCTGTAACTCCAGCCATTAGACCTTCACAATCTTAAAACAAAAGTCTGCAGTGTACAAAAGTGCTTGATTCCAAAGGATGGCTTTTGGAACCGGGAGCAGCACTGCTAGCTGCATAAGAATGCCTAAGTTTCACTCAATTTTTTCAGGTGCATACACTCCGGGCTTTTCTAGATCAGTATTTCTCAACCTTTTTTTTACCAGTGACCACTTTGATTACTTTGTTGTTAGCCGGGACCACAAGGCGAAAAAAAATTATGTTAATCTAACAATAAATTTTAATCACAACTTTTAAGATACAATAAACTGAAAAGAAGCATTCAATCACAGTATTATTTGTGTAATTATTGTATAAGTAATCACACATGTTTGGTAAAAAAAAATGCGATTTGGATTGCGACGTGGTAAAATATCCTTCGCGGACCATATTTAAGCTCCTGCGGAGTGGTCCGCGGACCACTGGTTTGGAATCACCGGTCTAGATGATGAATTTTGTTACAAACATATCTGTAGCAAATTGAGAGTAACTGACATAGCTTATTGATCATTTAGAATTAGATCAATAAGTAGTCGTAAGTGATAAGAAAGGTTTTTAAGGGCTTTTTAACTTCTTACTGACAAACGCAGTATAGGGCGACTCTACCTGATGAAAGCAAGTCTGATCACTAGATAACTTTGATCAGAATACATGCCTGTCCTTCTAAGCAACCTAGTGGAGAAATTATGACTTTACACTTTTCCTTTTACAACTTATAATATTATAACTGTTTTTAAAGCTTTAATGACATAATATAATTATGGTATGTATGTGTCTCACAATGTTTGATTTTGGTTTCGGTTTTATTTTGGAACATACAGTCCACAAAATGGTAAGTGTAACTTTAATGTTAGACGAAATAAATAATTTATTATTAATTATTATAGTGGCTGCTGCAGTCCATGGACGCATGCAGCAAACTTCAAATAAAAAAGGCCACAGATGCATTGTCACCTCTGGTTATTACAATGGAATGCCTCACAGCCTATATTTAATACCTCGCTATACACTTTAGGCGTAAACATAACAGTTTTATCAGTCAGAAGAAGCAAAATGGTGGTATCTAACCATACGGACACTTAGGCAGAAAAGAAATCCTACCATCTAGTATTCGAACCATTAGGCTAATGTTGTTTGTTTTCATACTTCCAATCATAATTATTTTAAAAATGCTGTTTCTAGATTGTAGTTAGTCTTACATAAACGACGGTAGATTTTTTCAACACTTAAGTTATAAAAGGTGCACGGCCACCGTAATGAGCCAGTATGGTGCATTCTTCTAACTTTAAATCGTGTTTATCGTTAACATGCCGTAAAGAAAATATTCCATAGGTCGGCCTTACCCGCATTGTTTGAACGTGAGTTATGCAGATACTGCATAGTGCTTTAAGCATCAAGATTGCCATGTTAGCTAGTGTGTATTTATAATTAATTTTAATTCCATAATAATTAATTAACATTATTCGAACTACTTTTTGTTAAAATAAGGCATTAAGAGAATGTCCGCAACTTAGTATATAGAATTATTAAGATAAAGTTGCAATGGTATATTAATAGCTCGTATAGGTAAGAAATGTTCTTTACAGGCAACATCGTGCTAGCATCAGGAATGTATACACCATTAAATTGATTGACGACCCTGGAAACAAGCAGGAAGTCGATGGGAGTATTAAATGACTCAGGATTATACGTTGCGCAGTTTTCGAGACAGAATTTTGTACGTGGTAGAGCCTCGCTGCAGCTATATTAGTAGTATAGTTGTAGCTCGAATGGGTCGACTCAACCGGGAAGGACCACGCTCTCACAGAATACCAGCGTAAAATAGCAGCTTAACGCTGCCGTCTTTCGTATGGTGAGGGTAGAAAACCGCAGACCCTTTTTACTGGAAACGAGGCATTCTATCTTAGTCCTCACGGGTGACACCGCATCTGCATTTTGATTCGTAATCGAGGATAGAAGTAGATGTCTAAGGATCGCAGCAACCACTTACCATCAGGTGTACTTACTGTGTGCTCGTTTGTCACCCTTATTCTATAAAAAAAAGAATGCAATATTGAAAATGATGGAATAATAATAATATACTCTAGACTGAGTTTCTGACACGACTGCCAGTTTCAATGCGCACACCACACACAAGCACAGTTGCACTATGTGATCCCTCACTCTCATAGTCTGATGGGCCGGTAATCAGACACGACCGGAGAGAGTTCAGGCGTAGGATCAACGGCTTCACGTGCTTTCCTAAGCACAGGAGCTAAACACCACCAACTCCTTGACATCAAGCTACTATTGGGACATCCTGATCAGCAGTTGCACTTATGACTACTAGACCAACGAGACAGTCAATGATGATGTGATGGAATCACTTAGATTTACGTGTGATAGCTACGCTGCAACTAAGAGTATATAATGATTTTAACACGAATGGTCGTGTGCTTTTCTTACAACAACCACTATGAGGGCTATTTTAAAACGTATTAATAATATTCTCTTTAGGCAGTTTTAAAACGTAGTGATTATATATTTTTTAATAGGATAACGTGACAAACGAGCACACAGTCCACCTGATGGTAACTGGTTGCTGTGACCTATAGACAATCTACTACTACTATCCTACTCTACTATCCTCAATAAAGAATCAAAATGCAGATGCGATGTCACCCGTAAGGATGGAGGAGAAGGGAGGAGGAGGAGTTCTCTGCAGATACCCCACGAAACACAGTAGTGTTAAGCTGCTATTTTACGCTGGTATTCTGTGAGAGCGTGGTCCTTCCCGGTCGAGCCGACCCATTCGTGCTACAACTATACTACTAATATAGCTGCAGCATGGCTCTACCACATACAATAATCCCTTCGGATCGTTTTCGCACTTCAATTAGCGTCCCTAAAAATAAAATAGCCTGAGTCTTTGTTTGACGCATCGGCCGAATATCATTCAGGCAGCTAGTTGAACGGTGCCGTTTATTAAATAGGCTAGGAAGTCAACTGAAAGGATAATTAAGCTAGTTGCCTGCGACGCATACATAGATACAGGTCATGTTAATAAAAGCGAGTTAAAAAGGCAAAATTACTAAACGCAACATAATATAGTAAATAGTAAGTTTAGCATAGCCTACTGGATTTAAACGGTTAATTTAACCTCCCAATAAACATTTACACACAGGTCCACTTTTTAATTTGGTATACTCACAGTGGTAGAGCCACGCGGCAGCTTTTGCTGGTCTCATGGATGGGCCGGCTCGAACCGGGGTGGTACCACGACCTCAAAGAAAACCAGCGTGAAGTAGAGGTTTACCTCTGCGTTTCGCTTGGTGAGTGCAGGTGGCCGGAGGCCCTTTTTACTGGAAATGAGGCATTCCATCTTGGTCCTCACGGGTGACAGCGCATCTACATTTTGATTTGTGGATTTGTGTTGAATGGAGGATAGATGTAGATGTCTATGGGCTACAGCAACCACTTACCATCAAGTGGACTGTGTGCTCGTTTGTCATCCTTATCCTATAAAAAAAAATACACTCTTTGATTTTGGTTTTTATTTTATATACATCTTTGGAGTTACCGTGTAGTGGCGATGTAAGAATATCCACTACTCCATATTCTCCCGTGGGTATCGTAATAGGTGACAGAGGGAAACAAATCAGAAGATGGGCAGCAGCGTCAAACTAATAACGACTAAAAATAAAAAAACTTCGGTTGCCAAAACGCTTGCCAAGCATGGCATCTATGCCAAATATCCACCTGAGGCAATTTATGAGGGAGACCTATGTTCAGCGGTGGAACTCAATAAGCTGCTGTAACGGTAACGGATTTAAGTGATAGACACCTATGCTCATGGCGCTTTAGGTCCTTAACGTGCTGTTATCATAGATAAACACGGGCTACCATCTGCTTTTTATAATGATTTTGATTTAGCGAAAGATAGCCCAGTTTAGCTACTTTCACGTTTATAAATAAAAAATTATATATACTATTTTTATTTAAGTATTTAGTATACTAAAATGTTATCAGCCTTATATACTTTGTTTATAAGTTTACAATTGATGAAATAGCTGCTCTTCAAGAACTTGTCATGTCCTTAATGATGATATCATGTGTGTGTGAAAATTAAAACATATATAAGTTATTTACGAATAACTCAATAACCATTGGTCTGACCTTAATCACACATAAAAAAAAGAAACATTACGCGTCTCCTTTTTGGAAGTCGGCAGAAAAGAAGACCACGCGAGCGAAGCCGCGGGTAAAAAGCTAGTATAGTTTATATGACTCTCCCGCCAGACGAATTTTGGGCAGAAAGATGTGCGTTAGATGACTTTCAGAATATAGCAAAATTTCCTCTCGATTTGCTATGCCTTCTTCCTCACTCCAATGCGGATTGTGAACGGTGCCTCAGTTCGGTAAATCTTATCAAAACGAAAATCCGAAATAGGCCCAGTATTGAGACTGTATGAACGGCACGCTATTAGCGAAACAACATATAAAACGGTTTGGTTATTGGTCGATTTTTCTCCATCAAGACAAATGTTAAATAATATGAACAGTAAGATTTTATATGGAGATAAATACTAATAATTTCACCGGCCACAGCATCCACTCACCATTAGGTGGACTATGCTCGTTTGTCACCCATATTCTATTAAAAAAATACCTACGTACACACTTCGAAATGTATTCTGTAGAACGCCGAAATATTGACAATTGACACAATTGATGCGTCTGAGAATCTGTCATCGCTTTTCGACCTGTGTTTTTTTTTTATAGGATAGGGTGACAAACGAGCACACAGTCCACCTGATAGTAAGTGTTTGCTGTGGCTCATAGACATCTACATCTATCCTCGTTTGCGAATCAAAATGCAGATGCGATGTCAACCGTGAGGACTAAGATGGAATACCTCTTTTCCGGTAAAAAGGGTCTCCGGTTCACTACATTCACCATATGAAACACAGCAGTGTTAAGTTGCTATTTTACGCTGGTATTCTATGAGAGCGTGGTCCTTCCCCGGTCGAGCCGACCCATTCGTGCTACAACTATACTACTAATATAGCTGCAGCATGCCTCTACCACGTAAGAAAAAGTGGGTGTCGTGAGAGGAGGATAAATAACCATCTCTTCACGCTTGACATGAAACACCGGCGTCGGGGTACATCGTTAAAGGAGCGAGACATCCGTTGCTCTGATCATCAATCTGCTGCTAACAGACGCGGATAATTTGAAGATTTGCTATTGAAGATTTGCTATTGAAGATTTGCAAGGATTTCTTTCAGTCCTTCTTATAGAAAGGAATTGCGTTATAACGCACGAGACTCATGTAGTAGAGCCTCGCTACCGGGTAATATAGCTACTGTACAAATGGGTCGGCTAGACCAGGGAAGGACTCACACACGGGAAATTGCGGAATAATGCTGTGTTTCGTATGGTGAGTGTAGAGAACCGGAGACCCTTCTTACTGGAAACGAGGCATTTAATTTCGGACCACTACGGACAGCGCACTTGCATTTTAATTCTTAGTCGAGGGTAGATGCCACAGCAATGAAATAACTCTGGGTGGATCGTGTGCTCGTTTGTCACCTTTACGTCTATATATTTAAAAAAAGAAAACGAAATTATAGCGTAACTTAAATTAAAAAAAAAAACCCGAAACAAAAAGATTGGCGATATTCAAATGGCTAAACAGATTTTCTTGAAACAGCTAAAAACAGTCGATTAAGACTTTTTTCAAACGAAAAAAATAAAACCAATACAATAGATACACAAATACACACTACAAACATAACACCCCTCTGTTTTTGTAGGGGGTTAAATAGTAAAAGTCTTACCTTCCCAATAATATGCGAATGGTCGGTGTAGCTAACATCGATCTTCATTGTAACTCGATTGCTCTACAAATACAAAATATTCATTAGTGTGGCTTGTAAATTTAAAACAGTTTAAAGTATTAGTAATAATTTCTTTAAAATATGTTAACATCTTAAAAACGGAATCAAATTTGCATCAAATTAATGAAAAGTTTCGGGGCTCGGACTCTCGGATTCAAATTCCAAATTGCAATCATAGTGGATCTATATCCATTGAAGTATAATTGCGCTTACGTACTCAATGTCTACATCGGGGTAGACATTGAGGACGTACCTACTTGGTTTAGAGAAACGAAGCGGACTTTAAATTACATTACATTCACATATATAAATAATAAATAGCTAGACAATTGGAATAGAAAGAACTAGGTTGTCTTAACCTGTTATAGTAAATCCGAAAAAGATATCGTGCCCATCTAAAGATGACAAAGTAACACATTCAAAAATTTCAAGCCTCAAGTTTTTAAATAACTAGCGACATAAGATCGTGTTCGGGCTACTATGATGATAAGATAATTTTCCAGTCAAACGTAGTGATTACTTCAAATTTTTAATTTGATCTAAATGTAGCACAAGAAGTTCATTGTTCGTGGACCGATGTCGATAATTAAACAATATCCCTTCGTAATATATTCAGCAGTGGATAATTGACCAGGTTGGCAGTTTTAATAAATGAATATAAAATGTAACCAAATTAAAAACACATTTTAGAAAATATATAATCTTTATATTTATATATAAAAATTATGTGTCACGTTGTTTGTCCGCGATGGACTCCTAAACTACTAAACTGATTTCAATGAAATTTTGCACACTGTGTGCATTTTGATCCAACTTGAGAGATAGGATAGTTTTTATCCCGCTAAATGACCCTCAAAATTTTTTATTGCGAATTTAAGGATTTTTATAGGAAGGGTTTGAAAGGGCGTTGGAAACGGCAGAATAACATCTGCCTGACCAGCTAGTATATTAATTAAATTTAAAATTACTCACCCTGGTATCCAATACTTGCATAATCTTTTCCCGGGCTAGTTTAACATCATCTGGTCTACCAGCTATACGCACATGAGGATCTATTAAAATAATAAAACATATCACTTTAATGAAAGTAATAATTCCTTAAAATAACCAAATTTGTACAGAAAGTTTTACCGAACCTAAGTTTAAAAGGTCTGTAAAATTGTTACGTCTAATTTCTTTAATCTTTTTGTATAATAATTCATCACATTGTTCGTTGAAAACCATATTTACTTCATTAGATAATCATAAAAATAGTAATAAAATTTGATTTAATTTTTTCTTAACGGACTTGTGTACGCATTATATGAAAATGTTTGAAATGAGTTGCAACGCGCGCCAGGTTGGCGCCGTGACGCGAACCGTCCCGTCGCGAACTATTTGGCGCCAGCCGCCAGCCCGCCAAAATTTTTTAAATAATTATTTTACGTTGTGCGTTCGAAAATTAATATTTTTACTTTTTCATTTATCTTTACTAGTAACGTCGAAATTTAAATTCATAGTTCTCTTGAAAGAATATTAAATAGAATATTAAGATAATTAAATAAAAGTTTACACCTGATTTTTATTATTTAAAGCCTGACACATTATGAACCTCACCTTTTTTAGATCTGGCACCTATTTTCAACCGCGCTGGCCAATTTATTAACGTATTCGTTTCATTCATCACCTATAATAAGAAAAGCATAGGTACGACCATTTTCGTGAAACGAATTGCAATACAAATATACAAATGTTTTATTTTACAATATTATTTTTACGTACCCTATGAAAAAAAGCTTGAGCCGTTTGCGATTCTTCTAAATTTTCTGAAAAGTTTTTTTTTAAATCAAAGAATACGATTAGTCAGTTAGGATCATTCAATTTTATGTAGTCTTAATAATTTTAAAAAATATGCAAAATACCAGCCAACATCCCCTCCAGTCTTCGCCTATCCACGCGAAATCTTTCCTGATAAACATCTTCAGCACTGTTTAATCCGAGTATCACCGCCAGTTTTTGCAAATCTTCTGCTGACGTCACAGAATTGCTCGTACCACTTTCCGATGCCTATAACATGTTTATCCTTATATACAATATGTTTATCCTAACATCTACATCGCAGATACTATTAGAGCGACTAATTTGAAGCTTTTTTGTCACATAAATATAAATAAAATATAACCATTAAAAATTTACGCAATAAGTCAACTCAAAATGGCGGAATGGTAGCTTAATTTCACAAAAGGTTCAATACTATTTTTAGTACTACGCCAGTAAGTAAATATAATATCATTTTTTAACTCACCTCGCTCATTGTATCTCTATCCGAATTATTTTTAAATTCAGATAAATGCGTTTTTACGGTTAAGAAATTTGTAGACGCCATAGTAAAACGGATTAATTGTTTAAAATACGTTGCAATATTGTCAATAACTTATTATGATTAATCAATTATTAAATAAATTGTCTTATGGTACATAATTACAGAGAAAATACAAAATTTTAATATTTGTGGCGGTTAACTGGAACAACTTTACGTATTGCTATGACACACCTGACTAATTGAATTAAATTTGAAAAATTTAATGAATCAAAATATAAGATATTGAAGGTAGTTTAAATTTTATAATTTTTCTTAATGTTATCATTCTGCAATACGAACAGCAAATAAACGTAAATACTCATTAACTTATGAAAATCATTGTAATTATAGATATTTTTTTATATTTCAGTACTTTCATTTGCTAATTTTATATTATATTCAATAAAATTAATTAAATCTGTAATAAATATTTATTCATATTTCAGAACTGCATTTAAAATGTTTAAAATGGAGGGAGGATCTAAAACAACCAATAAGAATACGTTTCTATAACCCAAGTTCCCGCCAAGACGACGCCCGGCGCCAAGTAATAAGCTGTCAATTTATTCGAAATATTTTTTACTTTGGTAATGGACTCGTACTGTGGTACTTTTGCCAGTGGCAAGTATTACGATATTATACCCTAATAAAAAACACTTTAAAAACTTTTTCACAATATTTTGATATGAGTATGAGTAATATTTACATAATAAACAATAGTTATTTCCAAACGTAAAAGCACAGAATAAATAATAGTACACGTAAAAGTAGCAATACTTTTACGCATTGAAATCCACTTATAACATTAAACACTTATGAACCCTAGATCCATAGACTTATTATTACTGTACTTTTGCTAACCATATTTTTATTTAATTTAATATTAAATAAAAACGTAACGACGACGGAATGCATAAGAAATATCAAGTTATGTTTAATGTTACAATATGAAACATTTTTATGATAAAAGTTATGGCTTTCAAAAAATAAAAATTCTTTATTTCACGTATTCATTTATAAAAAAACGATGTAACAATTTAGATAATACCACAGAATAAATAATAGTTAAAAGATGTAATACGTAATTTAACGAAACGATAGTTGTATTTTAAGCGAACGCCGCATGAGGTCGCGTCAGTCAGTTACCACCAGTATATAATAGTAAAATATGTCTATATCTACTCTTTGGTTTATGGTCAGTCGGGTTTCTGCGTTTGCTGGTGTTGGATGTGCGTGCTTCTCGGCTCGGTCATTTCGTATTATATTAATTTAAAATCTAAAGTTTATAATTAAAAGAAATCTCAATACGATTTTGCTTCATTACAAGCTAGTGTAAATTTTATTCGTGTGTCAAAACTTTTTATTTAGTGTGTATTATTGCTTTTTAGTGTTAAATTAGAAGGTGAGTCTACACAAAATAACTTAGTGAAATAAAAGTATTAGAGATGAGTAATTCAGTTGTTTACATTCGTTTTTTTTAAGATTATCTAGCTATTTGTGTATAATTTAAAGTTAAAACTTTTTTTTCAATTTGGGCTGTAAGCTCTAATAAACTCGCACTCTAAATAACGTCAAAATGTGCTAGACCGTACACCGGTTCCGCAACTCGCAAAAAGACCAAGAAATCTGGGCTCTAGGCTTTTTTAAATGTGTAGTTATATTTTTATTAAAACTTAATAAAATTAATTCAATGTCAAATATATATTATACATACATATTTATTTAACGTAAGTGCACCGATTAAAATAAATTTTGAAACGAAGTGTTAATATTTTAGAAATGTGTAGAGAGGGTTGCACTTTTATAACGCTGTCAACTCTAAAGAAATAAAAAGTAGGTAGTAAAATGTACCATAGTCTACCGCCTAGTTGCCATGGTGCCTATTACCACAGAATAAATAATAGTACAAGAACTATCACGAAAGTCGCTAAGTATCGTTCATTTTGATTCTACCTAGGCACCACTTCCACAGTATACACAACTTGAAAATCTATGTTCGGTAAATCCTTTCGTATAAATGAATATTTATTTAAAAAAAAATCTTCTATTATTATATATTAATAGTATAAAAAACGTAAGTCTTTGTCACAATTTTCTCTCACATCTCTGTGAAATATTAAATCTTCTGTATATACATATACATAAGCGAAATACCAGTGACTCATCACGACACTAGATCTCTAAAACTATACACCCTATTGATTAGAAAATTAGTATAGTTAATCATTTCGATTTTTCGCAATGTAGACGCTCACTAAGAACGGATTTTAGGATAGTCCCATAAAAAAAAATTCTTTATACATTTTACATCTAGGTTCCGCAATAAAATATTATCGTGCGCCCAGTGAAGCTAGCGGATATCAGCTAGTTGTATTATAAAAGCTAAACGTTAATTTTATCTATAAATAGTTAATTTTAATTTGTTATTTTTTAGTTTACTCCATTGATTGAGTGAATTGATTAGTTTAGCCGTTGTTACACGATTTAACTGTCACTATACGTACCACATTTATTTAATTATCATACAAAGTACTCAAAAAAAAAAAAAATAAGCATATCTGCCTTTTTTCGTTATTTTAACAATGTGTTTTTCCGACAAAGCTATTTTAGAATAAAACTTGCAATAATTAGTTATGTATACATTTAGACGACATTACACAAAATTTTGGTCTTATCCATAAACCTTAAAAAAATTATATTAAGTACTAAAGTATGTTTAACGAGTGAGGCGGCCAGGGGTCTGATTTTGAGAGACAGTCCCGTAATAATAGTAATTCCTTTTTTTTTACTTCATCTGAGTTCCTTGAAATAACTAGGCTACTTAATGTAGTCCTGCAAAAGTCTTACGCGTCTCTCATGTCCTGTAGTCCTTAAAATCTTTTATAAAATGTTCCTCATGTGACGTTGATGAATACGATATATTACCTATGTACCTGCATCGTAAAAATCATTACTTGAAGTTATTAACGTTCTGTAAAAATGTTAATTGTAAACTTGCTAACACCATATTGTATTAACATAGCCATTTATGTCAGACAATATATCACGGAGCGTTTTATAGACTTGGCCTTATGGATAAAACCTACGAAGAAAATCTCGTTGTACTATATTTAAACAAACACGTTTAAAGGCTCGGAAGCGCAGTGTCCAAGCGTTTGGTTGCTCCCGCATCCCGCATTGCTCCGGGTTTGGATGTTTGTCCTTGTACAATCACTGTACGTAAAACTACAGCTTACAAGAAAAGTCTGTATGTTTTTTACGTGGTAGAGCCATGCTGCAGCTATATTAGTAGTATATTTGTAGCACGAATGGGTCGACTCGACCGGGGAAGGACCACGTTCTCACAGAATACCAGCGTCAAATAGCAGCTCAACACTGCTGTGTTTCGTATGGTGAGTGTAGAGAACCGGAGACCTTTTTTACTGGAAACGAGGCATTCCATCTTAGTCCTCACGGGTGGCAACGCATCTGCATTTTGATTCGCAAACGAGGATAAATGTAGATGTCTATGGGCCACAACAACCACTTACCATCAGGTGGACTGTGTGCTCGTTTGTCATCCAATCCTATAAAAAAAAATTGTCGGTGAACGAAAATGTGCATCATAATATCTGGGAAATTTAAAATATACTTGACAATTTTAAATTGTCAAGCATATTTTAAATTATATATAAATAATTACTATTTTAATTCCCGAAACGTAGGGAATTAAAATAATAAATTTAACGAGATAAAATCCGAAAAAAATAGTTTTATTCAATTTTAAATTTTTTAGATATGTAACATTTGAAGTCGATTATAACGCACTGTGCTCTATAAAACTTTTTCAGAAAAGAAAAATTGCGTGCGTCCAAAAGTGGGATGTATGAAGATTAGTATTTTACTTTTACGATAATAATACGGAACTCGTGTGATCATTTTAATCTACGGTTCTCATTTGCATCCAATTAGCATATAGCACGACGACGAGACATTGTTCTTTACGATGTATAAAACGCGCATACAATACTTAATTAGGCGCGAGTTCTTGGCTCGATCAAATAATAAATTATTCCTACATAGCTCGATTTACTGCTCGGGTTACTGTTGCGATCGAGCCAGTGCCGTAGTACTCGTAGCTTAGGGCCTAAACGCTCAATGTAATGTTGACTGTGCTTACGCGAGCAACCCACGGGCACGTGAGTAAATAAACGGAACAGAGATCCTTTTTACTGGGACCGAGGCATTCTATCCTAGTCCTCACGGGTGACGACGCATCTGCAATTTTATTCGTAATCGAGAGTAGATGTAGATGTCTGTGGGCCACAGCAACCACTTACCATCAGGTGGACTGTGTGCTCATTTGTCACCCTATTCCTATAAAAAAAAAAAACAGGTAAAAAATAAACTGCTGCTGCAAACAGGATAATCTCCTCACGAGGGAACTCCTCAACCGAAAACTCCTTGGCAATGTTGGCAACGAAATACTTAAATGTATAAAAATTGTAAATTTAATATGCCTTGTGAGTGTTTCCCGTTAGATTACTTGAAAATACTGGTAACTGGTAAAAAAAATAATAACACTGCAACGCATCTGCAATTCCCCTGGTATTGCAGTTGTTCATTGGCGGCGGTAGTCACTTACCATCAGGTGAGCCGCATGCTCGTTTGCCCCCTATAAAAAATCCTATAAAAAAACTATTTATCAAATTTTTTGTCTAATTTCTCTTCACATATTGTGACAACCCTACCAAAATAGGTAACAATTTTGCACGTTCTTAAGAAGCTTTGTCTTTGTTCCGTTAATCTACTCATGTGACCCGGGTGTAATCCCCGCCGGCACCAATGAACTTTTTAGTGCTGATTTACTACGTGCACGGGGCGAAGGAAGTCATCGTAATAAAAGCTGCATGCTTAAGAAATAAAAAAAAAACGTTTGGAAGGCATCTTAAGTCAGCCAACTCGCATTGGAGCACGCTCTACACTTCTTGCCCTAAAATCCCGCCGAAAATCAGGGGATGTCAGTGTTACCAACTCGAATTTTT